CTGCTCCTGCTGGCGGCGGGTTACCCCCTCACGGAGTTGTTTTGTGGCAGAGGAGGCAAGCGGACTGGAGAGGGTGCGAAGTGCCTGACGGAGCAGCCATTTTAAGTCAGTCACGGCTGCTAACCTGAAGGGCATATTGTGTTGTGTTCGTGTGAGGAACAGCCCGGACCCTCAGAGCTGGCGAGGACAGTGTGGGGTGCAGGTTGTGACTCTGGCCGCAGGGCACGAAGAGCCATGAACCTTCTTATCCAAAGGAGTCAGCAGGACATCGATACATGCACCTGAGTGTCTTCCTGCGGGGCATGACTTTTCTGATGTGGTCTCTGGCAGTCCTGGTCTTTTCACACAGGTGTAATTTCTAAGCAGAAAGGAGGCTATTCTGGTGGTTTTACCAGTGGGAAGGGGAGGGGATGCAGTGCTGGCCTGGCTGAAGGAGACGGGGTCTGCACAGCTGATGGAGGTGGAGCTGGCAGTGAGGAGAGGTGATGGCTCCTGCATTCCCGGCCTGGGGGTCAGGCTGGATGGTCTGTGTTGCTGCCTGTGCATCGGGGCGCAACAGGAGTGAAACTCGCTTCCTTAGAAGCCCAGTGTCTTACCTAACTGATAATTTAAAACTTTGATCTGAAAGGAAAAAAGAAAATACAGGTTTTGTATATAAATTAATCTCTTGATGGGATCCTTTATGATAAAAAGGGATATCCTTTGATCCTTCTTCTTTAAAAATGTAATTTCCTCCAAAACCAGAATGTAATTTTATCAAAGGAGAGAGGAATCAACTCCATTTAGTAACAGCTTGTTGGAATATAGGAAGTTTGAAGTAAACATGTGACACACTTTCAATATAATTGTCACAGTTTGACTCAGGTCCGACAACAATGCTCTCGATCCCCTCCCCCCCCCACCCAGGTAAGGAAGGAGAGAGAGAAAAAGAGAGACACTTGGCTGGATTGAAAACTAAACTACACAGCTTTAATTAAACACTAATGAATGGTACAAGAAAATATATACAATTATGTACAGATATATTCAGGTATGGGCAAAATCCTCTTGCCTCCCCCCACCCCAGCAACTCCCACAGCACTTCCCTGAACTGCGAAGAGTCCCGAGGAATCCCGGAGCTGCTGCTGGAACAGAGCAGAGACTTATGGGGGTCAGGAGATCTCGAGCCTAAGGGTCGACGGTGATGGATGAACAGAGTCCTCCCCGGACGCCAGCCATGGACGGAAGAGAAGGGGAGAAGAAGAAGGAAGGAAGTTGTCTTCTGTGATCTCTGACCTTCCTTTGAGCTTACGTAGATATAGGGAATGGAATATCTTTGGCCAATTTTGCTGTCCGTCTAACTCAGCCTCCTACGGGGGGTCACAGATCTCCCCACAGTGTCTGAGCCGGCAGAGTGCAGGTGCGGCCTTGAAGCCTCAGTAGTTAGAAAAACATTCTACTGTCTTATCAGCCTAGCAGAACACACTGTTGCTAGTTACAAGAAAGCTTACTGAAGGGAAAAAAAAAATCAGTAAAAAGAAAAATTGGCTTCATCCTGGCTCAAACCAGGACAATAATTTATGGTTAATTTTTCTCTCTGAAAAATCTGTTCTTTGAAATTCATGGTTGTTTGCTACATGGGGAAAAACATGTAAACCCAAATAAGATGTCTTAATATGAAATATATAATTTCAAAACGTATCAAAAATTGAGAAAATACTTGCAGCATATCTATCAATCTGCAAACTAGTGGATGGTAAAACGTATGAAACTTTGGCAAAGAAATGTAGTTGTGATTTGTTTCCAGAGAAATAAAAGATAGATTTAGTCTTCCTGTGGTAAAGCACAACTTCAGGACAAAGAAGGGTTAAATATTTCTTTTTAACATTTTGTTGTTGTTAATTGTACTGTAGAACATTGGTGTCCTCTCCTGAACAGAAATTGTAACTGCATGATAGTTCTCACCACAGGGTAGGAGCTGGGCCAGCCAGAATGTTCACCTTTCTTGTATATGGTTGCACATTGTAAATAAGACATTTTAAAAAATCTAGTGTATCATGTTACTTTTAGACTTTTAAAATGTTGCTAACAAAAATACCAAATTTATTATTTTTAACTGAGTAACTGGTGAGACTGAAATTTACATTCTTCTATTTTAAATGTAGTGGAAAATGATCCAAACTAATTTCTCCAGAGCCCTGTGCACACTTTAGCAGACATAAGTGAGACCAATTTAAAAAATTGCCTGTTTATCCCTATTTCTGTTTTTAGTTGCTTGCCATGTAAGTTGGACTTTGGGCTAATGTTTTCTTTGATGTACCGTACTGAATAATGGGGTGAAAACCCTGAATCTGTTTTTCCCACTTGCTAATACTTCTTAAACCTGATACTACTTTTTAAACCTGATTTCACAGTTATTTTCATTAGGGCTGTAAAAAAGGTACTTTATTTCTGATACCTTTTCACAAAACATTCAGTGTTTCAAGCATTTTCTGATTTTAAAAAATAAAATCAATAGTAGTGTTAGCATCAGTTACAAGAGCTAGGATGTTCTTAGACTGTAAGACTATCACTTCTTGAATTGTTTGCCTTTATTCAGGCCTGGTAACAGATTGAGACAAGAACTGTTAAGCACTGCTGCCTTTATACAAGGGAAAAGCATCATGGAAAATTGGAATGGAAGAAAACATTTGCGTGTAGCTGCATCAAAAGCCTTTGTTCAGAGTGCCAGGTATGTTTTAGTTCGAGAGAAAACTGATATAAAACAGACCTAAAGTTTTATTTAGAGATTTGAGGATCAACATATTCCCTCCCAAGACTGATAAAAGTCAAAGCAGTTGTGAGCTGAAATGCTTGACAAAGGGTTTGTCAGATTTTTACAGTTTGGTCAAGTTACCAAGCACTGTGTGTTCCACATAGCTGCTCCTGTAATGCCATAGGGTCGTAGGAAAGTCTGGTTGGAAGGGACCTCAGAAGGGCTCTGGTCCAAACTCCTGCTCAAAGCAGGGCAGCCCAGGGCTTTATCCAGCCTGGTCTTGAAAACCTCCAGGAACAGAGACTGTGCGACCTCTGTGAATGACATCCCCTGCTTAACTGGACGGGTGGGGAAAATGTTCCTGCTTATATCTACTCTGAACCTTTCTTATTTCGATTAAAGCCCATTCTTGGCCTGGATCACCTTCATGGCCCTCCACTGAGCTCCTGGACGTTTGTCTATGTCTGATGTGTTCAGAGTGGCCTGGAACTGGATGCACTGGTGTAGGTGTGGTCTGAAGAGGGTGCTGATCAATTCCCTCTGTCTCTTGTCTGTTCTGTTCGTACAGCCAGGATGCTGATGGCTGTTGCTGCCAGGGCACACTGCTGGCTGGTTCTCAGCTTGCTCTGCTCCAAGACCCCATGCCCCTCAGCAGAGCTGCCTCTCACTCCCTCACTCCCTGGCCTCTGTTGTTGCAGAGCATCGTGTTAATATTCGGAGCTGTGCAGAAGGATTGCTTTAAATAATGAATGGGCAGGAGAAGGTGTATATTATAGATGATGCATGACTTTGGTGTGAATCCTTTGCTATTTGAAAGAAATAAATTAATGAGCAGAAGTAGGCAATTAGAACGCAGAGAAGATGAACATGTGATGGCTGAGGTTAACATTGTGATACTTTGTTCCTTCCATTGATCATTAAAAAGAGTGAGGAATGAAGACAGACTCGCTGGTGTAACAGAACTCTTAAGGTGATGTCATGTTGTGGATGAATCTGTATTTTTCTTAAATTTGCATGTTATGACAAGCACTTTTTCAGGAAGGATTGAACATACATATAGGTGTGTATATGTATATAGTTCAACACATTCCAAATGGGAGAAAAAAATGTGAGCAAAAACTAGATCTTAATAAGTCTAGTGTTAAGACATGAGGTATGTGAGCATGTGGACTCCAAAAATTCTGAAACTGTACCTGGGAGAAAATTACAAAGGTTGCCAGATTTTAAAAAAAAAAGGCTTTTTTAAAAATAGCAAAACTAATGGGTGATTGTTTAATACCAACCCATAATTTTTAGCTAAATTCCAAAGCTTTTGCTTACTCAAGTAGGTACTCTGAGGTATCACAATCTGGAAGATAATTAAATTTTATTAGTTCAAAGTAGCATTTGCATGGAATATGCTCAAAACAGTTTGCACCTAGAGGCATTTGTGGTGTGTTACAGTGGTACTGTACTGTGCAAAATCCATTTATTGCTGCTACTTCTGAATGTGTGAAGGTGTTTTGTATGTGCAAATGGAAAGTACCTTTTATTGTATGCTAACCCTTCACTGCTCAGCTTCTATGTAATGACACCTAGATCAATTAAAAGAGCATTTTTGTAGAAGCAAAATCCTTTCTTTTGGCTCGAGTGTGATTGTTTTCCTTCATTAAGTTGTATTTCTTCAGGTACGCAGGTGAAGCCAGAAGTTACTCCCTGGTAATGTTTGCAGCTAGACACTTTTGGAATACCTGTTTACCTTTGTTAGGATCTCCACGTGACAGAGAGCAGTTTAAAGAACCTACTGAAATAATTCTGAAGAATATAATTAAAGCAGAATCTGAAAATAAACAAGTAAGAATATCTCACAGGTGTTCTTAATTGTGCTTGTGTTTGGAAGCAATCCCTTTGAGACAGTGTATAGGTGATGTGCATCATGTAACACATGTTGCCATTTCTTCTGCACACCGAAACATCTCTAAAAATTTACAACTTTTCTCACTGTAAAATTCCCTGGAGCTGGTCTATTTCTCTTTCTAAATTTGATTTATGTGTCAGTGAAGCTGATGGAAATTTTTCCGTGGACTTCCACAATGTCAGTTAGGGCATGAAAGGTTTAAATAGCTGTTGCATTCAAGTGCAGCGGTACCAATGTGAGTCTGTATCTCAGATCATCAAGCAATGTAGTACAAGAATAGAAAACTTAATTTTCACTTCTCCTCAAGCCACGTATAAATCACAAATAGTCAGAGTTGGTGACTGGTCTGCTTGATTCTGGATATGTAGGAGAAAGAACTGATGAGTACCTGGGAACACAGTGAAGATTTAAAACTTAATGGCACTTTGATAGTGTTTGGATATCTAGCAGTGATTGCCCATAGGCACAGTTGTAAAGGTTTAGTTATTTGCAGAGACCATCTATTTAAAAACAATAAAAATGAATATTTCATTATGTGTATGTGGTTAAGTTGGTACCACAGCCCAGCAGGGACCTGTAAAGATGCTCAGTCCAACCCTCCTGCAGTGGGCAGAGGCATCTTTGACTAGAGTAGGTTGCTCAAAGCCCAGTCCAGCCTGACTTTGAACACTTCCAATGCTGAGTCATCCAGAACTTCTCTGGGCAACACTTCCCAGTGTCTCATCACTCTCACTGTAAAAAAACCCTGCTTATTTCCAATGAAAACCTCCCCTCTTTCAGTTTAAAAGTGTTGCCCCCTGGGGCACTATGTGCCTCTGTAAAAAGTCCTTCTCCATAACTCTTGTGATTCCTTTTTCTGTACTGAAAAGCCACAGAAATGTCTCCTTCTCCAGGCTGAACAACCCTGACTCTCTCAGTCTGTCTTCGTAGCAAAGGTGTACTACCCTCTGATGGCTCTCATAGCCTCCTTGGGACCACCTCTAGCACATGTTAACCAGTAGAACAAGGACTGTGGGCCTGTTCTTGTTTTCTTTTTTTTTTTCTTTTTAGGAGAAGAAAGAAATGTTGCCCTTGCATCAGTGGGCTACAAAGGATTTTCAAAGTATTGGGATACCAGCTGGATGCTTTCTTGCAGGCATGTTCTTCTTTCTTTTGATCTGGTAATAGAAAAAAGACCCAGTATTCTGTAATACCATTATTCTAATTCTGCAGTATATTAATAAATTATTGGAATGTACTTCAAAGGTGCTGAGGAAGATCTGACATTAAGGACCTCCTTATATGGGTTATTATTCCACATATATGCTGATAAAGCTTATTGGAAGGCAGCACTAAAAGTCCTGGATGAAGCTATTCAAGTTTTGCCTCAGACAAGACACAGACTGTAAGCTGGTTGACTTATTTTTGTTAAAATAAGCATCTTGATTCTTGAGAAGTATAAAACTGAGGTTTTTTTTATTTTGCCATTGGAATAATATTTTGACAACTTTTTGTCAGCCTGTCAGTTCTTGTAGCAGAAAGCACTGCTGTGACTGATAAAAAAGAAACACATTGGCAGTGCTTCTTATTAGCAATAGATTAATAATGTTTGTAAATTTCATTTTTTAACACTTGGCTGTAAGCAGTATCTTTTCGAAGAAATAGGTGCATGAAATGTGGCTATGTAGCAGAAAGGTTAATTTTCCTATCTGTAAACACATCTACATTAAATGGAAACTAAATTATCTACTATATGGTTTACATAGTCTTATTTGGGTTACAGGATTTATGCCTTTTCTTATGTCGGTTTATGAACTTTTCATCTCTGTACTATACTGATAAAAACTAGCATGTCTGGTCTGCTCACAAAGTTGATTTACAGGTACAGATGCAAGTAATTTGCCATGTTTTTGGCCTTTTTCTAGCCTGATTTTTAAACACATGGCTACAACAAAGGCAAGATTGGGACGCAGTTTTAGGATGGACATTCAGAAATTTGAAGATGAAAGTGAAGATTATTTGTCACGAATATGGCGTCATTTGGTATCAGTCTCCAGAAGTATTGTTGGACAGTTGAGCTGTTTTCAAAATGCAATCACAGCTTTACAGGTTTGTCAGTTTTTATTGGATGTTCAGATGCTGATACAAGTATTTCCAATCATGGGATTGCCAGTTCTGTGAACTATAGAACTGAACGGATAGGAAGGCCGTGTTCTTGACCATTCCTTTTTATAACTTGGAGTTGCTCTTCAGATGGAAAACTGTATAAGCTTGAAGCTTGGTATCTACTGAAAATTCATTTGGCTCTTGTCTGAGAGAACTGTTTAAGAGTAGCAAATTACAAGAAGTTTTGAGAAATGAGTAAATGGTAGTCAGTGTTAAATTCAGTTTAGTGTAACTCTGATTATGTGATGCCAATAAAACTGCTCACTGTCAAATTACTATTTTTTGCTTCTTTTAAGACTACATTGAACTTTTGAATATAGTTTTGGTGGTTTACGTCAGCAAATATAAATTAACTCTTCTTTTGTTACTTCAATAGAAACAAGAAAATGAATGGCAGAAAGTTGATTATCTATTGGAATTTGCTGAGTGGTTATATTGTAACCAGTTTCCCCTCAAGGATGTTATTGAACCGCTGAACTGGGTGGTAGATCTCTTGCTGCACATGAAGTTTTCTATGCAGTCTTCACAAGAAGAAGGTATGTAAAAGGTGCATATCCTTCAGAGGAATTTCTCAGCAGCAAATAAAGGGACACTTCTAATTTACAGCACAAAGAATAGCACCAGCTTGGCTGGACTTTTTCCAGTATTCACTGTCGTTTGTTCAAAGCTGGCATAAATATATCTGTGCATTCTGTATCATGCCATGGAGACCTGCCCCAGGTAGATCAGACAAGCACTCCTGGTGTTTACATTCAGGGTCTGTAGTATCACACATTTGATTAAACTCACAGTAGCAATGTTCTGTCGTTACTTTTCTCTTGGTGATTATGTTAGGTATTTTTAAAGCTCTATGGCAATTTAAAACTTGTACGTGTTCTTTATGAACACCCAGTTTCACGTGGTTGCTTATGATTACTGGATGTTTCACACAGCCTGTGTTTCAAGGGAGTTTTTTCAGAACTTAGTGGAAACCAAAAAGGAACCTGCTCAGTTGTGTCTTGAAAGCTGCCAGTGATTGGGACAGCACCACATCCCTGGGGAGGGTGTTCCCCTAGTAGATTGTTCTCACTGTAAACAAATTCTTTCTTATATGAAGATGAAACCTCTCCTGGTGCAACTTGTACCTATTGCCCCCTGTCCCCTCCGTGTGGCTGCTTGTGAAGGAAGAGTCTCTGTCCCCTTTGTAGCTGCCTGTAAGTACTGGAAAACTGTGGTGAGGTGCCCCCGAGCCATCTCTTCTCCTGGGTGAAGACTCAAACTTCTAAAGACTTTATTCATAGCACAGGTTCTCCAGCCCTGTGATCATCTTTGTGGCCCTCCTTTGAAACCTCTCATGTCACGACAAACTATTGCATCAGGATCAAGAGGAGTTTTTATTTGACTGTAGCACTGAAGTGGCTAAAGTAATTAAGTTAGACCATCTTTATTACAGATTTACTTTCAAGAAGACATAGTTAAAGTGTGCTTGCTGTGGATTTCATTTCTGTGTCAGACTTGCATCATTAAATATACATAACTGTTATATTATTCATTGAAACATGGTACAAGTAGCATTGCATCACCATGAGAAGAATGTCTTTAGCAGATGAATTTCTATGGCTTTGAGTCGTTTTCCAGAAATATTTTAATTTTTCAATTCAGAAGTTTTAAATTTTGAATAGATTTTTAACATACTGTCACTGCGAGCATTCTTTGTGTTTTCTAACAGAAAAAAACACTATACCAAATTTTTTGCCCACAGAAAATTTGAAGGTAGACAGTGGAGCAAAGGATACCTTGGCCCAAATTAATTTGGAAGATTTGAATAATATTAAACAACTGGAAGCTTTATTTAGAGCACAGACTTTAATGGCTGTAATTTCTGGTCATAGTTCTCCTTTTCACCAGCAGCACTGTTTGATGGCACATGCTTGTGTCCTCCGGATCTGGCAGGTGAGATTGTGTAACATGACAGTGTATGACAATGTGGCCAGTGTATTTCAAGCTGTCTTTTGTATGTATGGTGCCAGCTGTTCGTTTAGTGTTTTAACTAGTGGTTTAGAATTTCCAATTTTGTGGCATAGTTAATATATTTTTTCAGGTTTAAGGGTTAAATGATAAAATTGTTTCTCTCAGGAAAACAGAGAAGAGGCATGAAGAATAAAAGTGGTGGCCTATTTTTTTCTGTGGAGTACTTTCATACATTTAATGCAAAAGAGTCTAAACTTTAGTATTTTTAATTTGTTGAAGAATCAGTAGTGGCAGAATATATGCTGAAGGCCTTGCTGACAATTCTGAGGAATGGTGGTTACAGGTGGATCTTCCCTTAGGCTGAACTAAAGGGGCTGTTGTTAGGCTGAAAGGAGTTGTGTGACAGTTAAATCAAATTGAGATGTTGATTTGTTTGCTGAGTTTTGAGGAAAAAGTATAGGCAAGGCAGTGTTCACCCCATGTCATTCTCTAGTAACTTTTTGTTACAGCATTTCAAATCAAAGAAAATTTATTTCATTCCTCATTTGTATGAATGCCTAATTTAAATGGCTATTGTAAATCATAGCAAAAATAATAGAAAAACAATTGTACATTAAAGATGAGTCAATATTTAAAGGGAGCAAATCTATACTTAATAATAGTAATGCCATAAATCTTAGTGGAAACAGTCCTAGTGCTATAGATGTGACATATCAACTAGATAGGTAAAGTACAGCTTGTGCAGAATTTTATTTCAATGCATGGTAAAAGCCTGCAGTTTGTTACTTCTGTGGTAATTATGATTAAGTTTTCATTGTGAAAGCAGGTTAGACTCTTAACATATGATGGAAGAGAGGAATTTTAAAAAGAAACATTGAATATTGATATATTCAGATTTTACACAAGCATAATTTTTAACACCCTGAACCTGATTGTCTGAGCATCTTACTAGAGAAAAAATACCTGAAAGGAGTATTACTGTTGGAATAAACTACTAAAAATTGAAAAATTAAAGAGTTAATGAAGCTCTTGTTGCCAGTTGTAGGACAATGGCAGTCATTCTAAGCACTCATGTTTACAGCTGAACAGAAAAAGAATAACCATGTGACATGAAAGGCATGAAAGTGCTGTGGTACTCCTTAACCTTGCTTTGGAGCACAAAGCAAAGCAGACTTGACTGCAAGTGTCCCTTTCTAAAGCAGGCTCTCAGGTCTTAGGACTCCAGAACTAACTCAGTAGAAGATAATAAAACCTGGCTAATCCACGCCAGATCAGCTGCATCTGACTTTTTTGAAGATGTGTTGCCTTTAATTTGCAAGTTTCACAAGTTGTGCAGCATCCAGCATTGTTTTTTATTTATATTTTGTGTTCTACTCTTGATCCCTCCAGCAAAATATATTCACAAATTAATCTGTTGGTTGTTTGGTTTTTTTATATTTTAAGATCAGAAGTTCTGCTATTGCATGCACAGATAAGTTTTCAATGGATGCTTTCATATGCTTAAATACTTAGAAATGCTTTTTATATAACACTCATTAGGAGTGTTACAGAAGACTAATCTAGAAGAGCAACAGAGTGGCTCTTTGCAGTCTTCCAGATTACTTTGATATTTAATTTCTGCCATGTAGAAGATGAAGCAATCTAGACTAGCAGTTGGAAAAAAAAAAATTGCAACTCTATGGGTTAAAAAAGTAGCAGCAGTGTTTATCACAGGGATGATGGGATCTCCTGACAGCTCAGCTGCTTAAGTGCATTGTCATCATCATCTTAAATACTTGGACAAATGATGTGAGCATACAGGAAGCTGAAATTTTAGTTTTCTGAAGAAAGCTCTTAAAAATAATACGTATGGCATGTGACAGTTTTTAATAGCTGTAGATAGTGATTTACAGTCAATAATAATTATCACTAAAATTTGATACTGTTACTGATACTGAACATTGAAAATAGGTAACTAATTTTATTTTACTATCTAGGTATCGTTGTCAGCATCAGGACCGATTGCAAAAGAATTATCAAAGTCTTCACAACCTACAGCTCCTAAGAAATCAGGGTCAAAAAGTGTTCCTAAAAAAGAGAAAGACAAAAAGAAAGAGAAACAAGTAAGAACTCCTTTTGTGCTATTAGAACAATAATCTATTTGTAAGAGATGTTTCCCTGTGCTTGTTTGCTAAGTGTTGCAGATGTAGAGCCTGGTAATCCATGCAGGATTCCCTGGGAGTCTCTGTGTCCTGCCTGCACCCATGTTGTGTGTGTCCTCCTGTCCTGGATGGGATGGGGTGACAGACAAGAGCTACATGCACTAAAGTGAGATTTACTCATCTGACCCCAGGGTCTTGACCCTTTAGAAGGCACAAACACAGTCAAATTGTAGGAAAATTGGGGGTTTGGAACAGAAGCTAAGGTCAGAATGCAGAAGGTGTCTTAATAAAATATACTACTTGTAGTTAGGTCAAACAATAAAGGTGTTAACCATTAAAATGTTGGCAACTTATTATCAAGTGTAATACTAGGCTTAGAATATTAATTATTAACTTTAAGAGAGTTCTAGAATCTTAAAAGTTAAAACTTGACAGCGAACAATTCCTTACTGTTGTGTGCACTAATAAAGACAGTTAATACCTCTCACCCTTGCCCGGCCACAGCTGGTGTCCCTGGGTGGGTCTTAATTCTAGAGCACTAATGTCTCTGGCAGGTGTCCCTGCTGGAGAGGAGAAGGTCCAGCAACCTCCTGGGAATGTGTATGGCAAGTCTCCCTGATCAAAGGTGGCACCAGGCTTTAATAATGAATTTAATACAAACAGGAGTGTTAATCTGGCCTCATAGGTGTCCGTATTTTTTATTACAGGTTGAAGCTTCTTCTGTGAGAGGACCAACAGTTACCTTACCAGCAAATGTGGAAGGATGGGCTCGTTATGACTGTCCCAGTGAAATCAGAGAGGCTTTTAAGCAGCCAACAAATAGCCATGGCATTAACTGGAATAATTTCCCAAAACCTGTAAGTACACTTCTCAGAATTCCAGAGCACTTATTATTAGGGGAAAAATATTAGTAGCAGAGAACTCTGTTGCATTTTAGTTTTTCTTGCTAATGCTTCAGAAAGTGTTAGTCTGTTCCTCTGCATTCTGAAATGAACTTAACTTGCAGAATAAATTTTCTGGCTTTCTTTATACCTAGTTGCTTTTTCAGCTTCAAAGTTTGTTTAATTTTTTATTATTTTTATTTTACTAAAGTTTGGAACTGAAGATGTAATAATTAATTTTAAAATTATTCTCTACAAAATTATTATAATACTGATTTAATTTTAAAATTATTTTCAGACTTACACTTTGTATTTTCTGGATCTTCTATCTAAAGAACTGCAGAAGATTTTTTGCCCCCACTTGATTCTTCCCATCTTTCAGCTAGCTGAAGTTATTGCTAATGAAGTTGTGGAATGTAGAAGTCTGTCTAATCTCTATCACCTTCGGTTTGTATCCTTAATTTATTTTAAATAAAAGAGAAACTGAATGGAGTGGACCATCCATTAATATTTCCTTAAATAGTAAAAAGGCTTTTTTGTGGCTTCTTGTTTTATACTTGTTACGTTTTTTATTTATTTTCATTCCGTTTTAATACAGTTTAAAAGAGCTTTGTTGAATTGGTTTTCTTGTGGAATTAAAGGCACTAAATGTGTCTGTTACTAAACATGATCTCCATGAGCATAGGTATGAAAGATGCCTTGTTGTCACCCAGATGAAAGCGGTGAAGTCCAAAAAAAAAGTCAAAAAAGTATTATCTTTTAAGTATTGGAAAGACTCCCATCTTGCATCAAAAATGTATTGTCTTTAGCTCAAGAATCCAAATAAGTATTCCCAATAAGAGCATACTCTTCTATAGAAATTTGCCTTTGTGATCATCATAAGATGACTTTTATGGTGATTAATTATTAAAGTTTTTGTTCTAAAATATTTAATACACATGCAGTGGCAATGTATTGCTGTTTTAGTTAAAACATTTCCTTATGCTTTTTTTGGAAATACACTGCATAATGTTTGCTTAATAATTAAGTTATAAGCAGTAATTGTTTTCTTAATTCCCTGTAGTTTATGAAATGCCACAGTGTATTGTTTAAATGTCTGAAACTGATCCCACATAACAGAACAGATAAGTATTTGTGCATGAATATGTATTTGTGTTTATCTGGATTGTTAATTGATTACTGACTTACTGCCTTATAAGACTAAAAATTACTTACTAGTAGGAAGTTTATTTGCAGCCAAGCTTTGCCAGTCAATTTCTTCTGTTGACTCCTCAGGATTTGCTTTTATTTCATGGTATTTTACTTATATCTATGACCTGATTCTTCTATATGATCAGATAACTTTACATAAATATATTACTCTTTGCTCAGTACAGGAAAGCAGGTTAGTACACACAGGCATATGGAGTTCAGTAAGACCATATCAGAAATATTTTTGTACTTTTGCCACTAAATCGGAGACATGCCCTTGATGAATGGACTGGGAATGCTGGTGGGTGTCCCCTCAGTGGAAGTGTGCAAGGTCAGGTGGGAAAGGGCTTTGAGCAACCTGGTCTAGTGACAGACACCAATTGGACTGGGTTATCTTCGGAATGTGCCTTCCAACCCAAACCATCCTGTTGTTCCACAGCCTCTGTCAGTTGGTAGTTTCAGCTACTGCATTTCCACCTTCTTAAGTTAAGTGTTGTTGTTGCCAATATTAATCAAAACATAAGAAGGGAGGATTGACAAATATAGAATATATTCTCTTTATATACAATGTGTTTATGTTGTGATTGTTTCTTATTTTTATTCCATAGAATTGCTCTGATATGTTCAGACCTAAAACTGACTCAGGCATCTCTGTACCACGAGAAAGCTGCTGGAGAAGCACACATCAGCGAATTAGAACAAGCAATGTATGTATTTCCACTACAGAGCCTTTATTCAGATGGCATTTATTCCCTAAGGTTGATAAGTGGTGTTGGGTGAAAAATTATTTTAAAACATAATCTGTTAACACCAATTTGGTATCTTAGCTGTGCCCTAAAATACTGCATGGGGTTGGTTTGTATCTGTCCACAGAGTGTATGGTGAAGATGGCTAACCACCCAAAACTTTGTTATGAAATACTATTTAATATACTTGGATTCACGTTTTCTGTCTGGTGATCTAGGTGTAGGCAAGCAATTGCACTGAAAAAAGAGAAGACTGTACATACTAAGACAGAAGAAAGAAAACCATTTTTTGAAAATGCACAGCCAAATGGCAGTGAGGAGGAGAATGTCCTTACTTCAACTGAAAAGGTTTTTGTTTCTACTCCAGTTTCTGTCATAAATTACTCTTCTCATTGTATTTTAACATACTTGCTGATTTGCTTTTAAATAATTTTATTCTTCAGATAGAAATGCTCTCCTTAAGTTTAACTGGCAGGCACCAGCTGAACGTGGGCTGGGTTTGCCTGGTGTGTTCTTGGTAGTGTGGAACAACAGGAAGAGAATCTCTATTCATACAATGTAAAACTTGTTTTCTGAGTAGAATTTGGAACTTAGGCAAATCAATGGAAGAGACCAAGGAGCAAAAGAGTCATTGTGTAGGCTCGTGGTCTCTTCCTCTCTCTGCTACATCACTGCCTGCTGTTCTGCTCCTCTTGTGCAGTGTTTAAAGGCACACAAATATTTCAGCTGTCTTTTCTGTCCCTCCTTTAGTAAGGTGATTGCCTTACTGATATTCTTAAACCTTGCCTCCACTCCCTCTTTATTATGGCAGTTCCGTCCTTGTTTTCATCATATCACTTTGCTCTCTTGAATAGCTATATCTTCTCCATAGGAGCCATCCTCTGATTGTGTATTTTTCCATTGTTGTGCATTAAAATATCTTTTCTTTTTTTCTTCTCATTACTGATCTTTCTAGAGTCACCTCTTTTAGCTCTTGCAAATAGTTTTTCTATTTGATTGTTTTAGTTATTATCAGAAATCAATTCGTGTCTTTGTGATCTTAAATAATTAATCTTTCTAATATTAGTTATAATAGCATATACTAATTAGTTGAATACCTTTTGAGTGTTGACAAACACAAATCTCACAGTAAACATGTACAAGGTTGAATTTCAAAGTTATAAAATGGAGCTGACTGTGGGATATACCAGGAATTGAATATGAGAGTTAATAAAAATTTGTATTCCATCTAGTTTACGTCGAAATTTGTGAAAGTGTAATATTTTGTTGTCTCTCAGGTTTTTGAGTTAAACGTGGAAACAGGAAAAGGTCTGAGTGCCCTTTCTTTCCCTCACTTGTGGATAGAAAAAGCTGAAGTACTAATTCAGCTGGGCTTGTATCAGCCAGCAAGACTTCTGCTTTCAGAGGCCCATGCTGCAACTCAGGTACATCAGAAATAAAAAAGGAAGAGAAAAATTAATAAAATGTGTAGGTAAAATGTTCATTTTGATGCAGTCATTCCTCATAATAATAATCAAATTGCAAAACTAATTTCAACATACATAAGGCATACATTTAAATACATGGCACTTAAGTGTAACTTTATGAGAATTGTCTGAGGATTATTTCAGCTACTGTAGTAATGTCAGCATCCCTGTCTCCTTTGCAGTGACCTGGGGAGATGTATATATATCCAAACCTTGTATGTTAGAATAGGTTAGGGATTTTCAAGTTTTTCTCATAAGAGAGAGAGAGCATTTAGCTCCATTCTCTCAATGTTTTGATAATTTGAAAGTCCAGGCATCTTATTTTGAATTTTGTTACAGTTTTGGTGCTGTGTTTTGTTAAACAGCACTGACACTTAAAGTATTAATTATAATTCTGGCCTATATTAAATAAGTATGTGTATATTTCACCAAACAAATGCACATCATCTCATTATTAGCAAGGGTTGACAGTACAGAAATTCTCCATGATAGCTCACTTCTTGGTTACACAGGTTACTGAAACAGAATTACTACAATAAAGCCTTTACTTTTTTTAAAAAATGTAATTGTTATCCTATTATTCCACATAATTTTTCTTATGTCAGTAAAATCTGCCTACGTATATTTAGCATTAATTATGAATACTTTAAATATATGAATAATCAAAAAGTAATAGAGTAATGGGCATTGGAAGGGACCTCTGGAGATCATCTAGTCCAACCCTCCTGCTAGCACGTGTTCACCCAGAGCAGGTGGCATGGGATGGCATCAGGTGGGTGTGAAATGTCTCCAGAGGAGAGACCACAACCTCTCTGGGCAGCCTGTTCTGGGGCTCTGTCATTCTCACAGTAAAGATGTTCTTCCTCATGTTCAGATGGCACTTCCTGTGTTCCAGTTTTTGCTCATTGCCCCCTCTCCTGTCACTGGGCACCACTGGAAAGAGTCTGGCCCCACCCTTTTGACACTAGCCCTTTAGATATTGATAAGCATTGATAAGATCCCCTCAAAGTCTTCTCTTGTCCAGGCTGAACAGACCCAGCTCTCTCAGCCTTTCCTCATAAGAGAGATGCTCCAGTCCCCTTGTCACCCTCGTAACCCTTCTTGGGACTCTTCCCAGGCATTTTGTCTGTCTAGTGCTGGGGAGCCCAGAACTGGACACAGTTCTCCAGATGTGGCCACACCAGGGCAGGGCAGAGGGTGAGGAAAACCTCCCTTCACCTGCTGGCCACATTCTTCTTCATGCACCCCAGGATGGCATTAATTAATAATATATTCATTAATAACACGTGTCTTAAAAAGCATGAGTTTAGTATTGTGCATTGAGGAAAGTTCAAAGGGCACTGGGGAGGACAATAATTTTAATGATATAATTTTTTGCCTGTATGTTTGTATGCTAGTTTATGATCTGTGCTGTACACTATGTCTCTTACATCTGTGCCACTAGTGAATCTGTAACTAGCATAAAGTAGCATTGTATATTTACTGGAGTTCCGTGTCTAGATTGCAGTTCACAAAAAAAAACTCATCGCCTCATTTCTGCAGCAGATACTAGTAACTGCAAGCACATATGTACATACTAAGTAATAGAAAAACAGCTTATGTGACTAGTGGGTTAGAAAGAAGGAAGGAGAACATAAAGAAATAAAAAATGTATTTAAAGATTTCAGGCTCTTGCTATGAATTAGACACTTCATGTGCTTGGAAAAAAAAATCAAGTAATGGAAGGGATAACTGAGAAATTCTACAGATAATTGAGGAAATTCTATTTGCTTATTTCTGTGCCTGTTCATAAGTTTAATCAAAAATATAAATAGAAGTGAATACAAATAGCAGTAGTGGATCTTCTATATATAGGGCATGTGTCTTTCTTTGCAGGAGCTGGGGTCCCGTTATGATGTCTCCAGGTGCTTGTACTTACTTGCTGTACTGGCTAACCTGGAGAGAAACCATGGTCAAGCCAAACTGCTCCTAGAGAAAGCACAACTTCTAGGAGGAAATGAACAATTTTGGTACAACAGTACTCTTGCTCTAACGGAAGCAATTCTAGAGGAAGAGGGGGAAGGAAAACAGAGCATGGTAAGGAAGTTCTTCCCTGTTGGCGGGGGCTTTTTGCAGCAGTGATGCCTCTCTTTCAGTGAAGAAAGATCTTATTACATGTTATTACAGCCTTTGCATTTCAATAAAAGCAAAAATAGGCATGAAATGCAGTTAGTGGTGTTTGGTCTGTTGTACATTCAAAAAATGTTAATTACACATTCCAAACAATTTCTCAGTTCTGAAAAATAATGCTAGAAATAAAATGTATGTATTTATTAAAAACCTTTTCGTATTTGACCCTTAATATTAAAATACCCATTTTCTGTTCAACCCTTAACTTTCATGAGTTTCAGTATAGATATAATCTTGTTGTGTCTGTGATGATCCTCCTTTTTTATAATCTGTAGGAGTCTGTTTTGTATAGAGGAATTATTTTTAAAAGGGGAGAACTCATAATAGTTGAAGGACAAAATACCTGGTTACCAGTGAGAGTATTTACTAAGGTTTAACCACTATAGCTATTAATTACAGTGTGAGGTGCTTTGTTGTTTTTTTACCTGCACCTGTTCAACATTATTGCAGCAGCAATTTTTTTTATAAGGATAAATCTGTAGATGAGGTCTGTTGTCCCTTGTTCTTCTGCTGTGTACCTCTAAAATGAGTCCAGCTCCATGTTTTCTCCCTGTGGGTATGTGCTCCATTCACTTGATCATATAAAATACCTCAATATGATAATAACTCATACTTTCCAGGCTTACATACAGTTGTTGAGAATCAGTCATTTTGGGGAAATAACATGTTGTGCTCAAAATTTCAGCTTTCTAAATGAATGTTTTATGTGATACACAGACATTTGAAATAAAATTTTGAAATGTTTGATGTTACCTGCAGGCTTGTGAGGTAGTAGAGCACACTGTGAACGTGCTCAGATCTGCTTTACTGAAGACACCTAACAGACAATCAGAGTTGGATTTTATAATTTCATCCCTTGAAGCCAGGTAACTGTCCTTTCATTACAATATGTCCAGCCTCTATTTTGCAATTACATTGCAAATATATAGTGATTTTTACCATTTATGTTGGTATGGTGAATTTTGTGGATAAATAAGTAATTTATGGTGGGTTTTTGTTAATTGAAATTTCATTTCCAGTTTCTTCATTCTTGTACGTGGCCCTGCTACCTCTTAATCTGGTAAGCTAGTCAAGATACCACAACCTCTTTTGGGTAGTTTGTGGTGGAGATGGCCCAAAGGAGCAAGATACATTTGCCTGTACGGAGGTCTCTGTTGGAGCACAGATATTCCCACAACACTATTGTAGTCTGCGCTATTGACTTTCTTCTCTCCTCACCATGATCCAAGAAGTCTTATTATGGTGAAACTATACAGAGAGCTTAAAATGTGTTGGTAAAAGGAGAAAAATATATAACACACTTCCTTCTATTTCCAGAAATGTGAAACTTGTGGATGAGAGAGGCAAGACTAATAGTTTCCTCAGTTCAACTACTGATGTCAGTTATCGAACACCGCCTGTACTTTCTGACTATCTTAACTTGTATTCCTAGGAAAACACTTATTCAGATACATTTTGTGCAAGATTGTATGGCAGTTAATGCTGGGCCATGTCAGGTGCCACATACACTACAGGAATCTTGCAATAAATCAGCTCAAAGTGAGAAGGACTTATTTCATTATGGGCATAAAAACAGCAGCGCTGAGATACTGCTAGAATATGCAAATATTCAGAGGTAAGATTATATTTCTGGTGAAAAAATTTATTGAAATAGTCCATGAAGTGTATTGTGTGCATATTTATAGTCTAAAGAAAGATGGGTAGGAACAGAGAATATTATTTGGTTTTATGTCTTCGTGTTACATGTGTATTTGCATTCTTGATACATTCTTTATTCACAAAAATACTGTAGAATCAAAAATTCTTTTCACTAAAAGCAGAGTAAATCTTACATTTACTAGTGATTTTTGTACTGGTTTTGAGGTCAAAGTATCAAGATCTCTAAGTCAGATTTTTGTCTTCCTATTTGTAAAGGCATTTTGGCAGCCACAGCAAACATTCTGAAGTATTTATAGGCTTGTCCAATTCTTACTGTTGAAGTGGTTCTCCAGAAATTGCTCTAATAGCAGGAGTGCAGAACATGGTGTACCTTGATTCCACCTTTTTCCAGATGTCCCCTTAAAACGACTGAGATAAGTTTTGTACTTGGCTGTTCTGCCATCGTGTTCCTGGTGAATACACACTCTAGAATATGATCTGCCTTTCTCTTGCTGTCTTGGCATCTCCTTGGGTTGCAGAAGTACAGTTCCAAGGTGGAAAATTAATGTATGGATGTTGAATTTTGCTATTAAACATTTAGAAAATACTTGTATAAAATGGATCTATTTACTCCATCTATTTAATCAATTAATATACTATATAATATGATTATTTTATTATGAATGTTGATAGTCTTAATGCCGTAAAAATACTTTCCTACGTTTGTTCCTTTGCGTTTATGCGGATTTTTTCAGGATGATTGCCAAGCAGGAAAGAAATGAAGAAGAAAAACATAATCACTACCTAGAGGCTTATAACTTGGCTCAGAGGGCAGTATCCAAATCAGAGGAGGTGTTTCATACTGTTTGTAGCTTATTTGCAGTTAATGAGGTATGGATATATATGGGTTATTTGTGCTTATGGAAAATAAATCTAATTTAGTTGTATTGTTCACCCATTCATGGGTGATTCCTGGAAGCTCCAAATGAGATTCTCTTCATGTAATGATAGGCATCGTTTTAATGTAGAAGGAAACTTTGCATGCCAAAAAAATTTACAGTTTAAAAAGGGAAGAAAGGAAGCAGAAATGAGAGGATTTGTTTGGTCTTTGTTGACTTTATTTCATTCTAAAATTTATCTATTAGCTACAAAAGGAAAAGTCTAAACTTGGAGTTACTCTCAGTTCTCTAAATACCTCACAAGTTTAAAATTCTTCAATAAAGTGTTTATTTATCGGGGTAATAAAGAAACTACACTGAACATTATGTAAATAAAGCAAGCCTGTCTTCAAAATAATGGGTTTTGGCAAATGAAAGCCTGCAGCCTACTTTGCTGATATGTACTATTACTGTGCTCTACCATCCAGCTTTCTTTTCTGCTTTGCCTTTTTGAAAGAGCAAGCATTTTTCTGCAGCAGCCACAACCATTAATATTAAAATTCTGGTTTTAGGTACACACTTGTAACTCCTTGGAAGTAAATATTTTGTACCAGGTACACAAAACATGAAAAGCAAAAATCCAGCTGCTCTTTTTCTATGCACCTACTTTAATTTGCTTTGTAATATATATTGAGGTGATATTAAAGTGTTTGCTTCTTTAGTTAGAAGAAATTCAAAATTCTGTTTTCCTGTCAGGTAAATTTGCAAAAATGGTTTTAAATTAGACTTCTACTTTCTTATGTATTTCAGACTACAAATATTAGTATTCCGATAATGCGGCAATTAGCTAACAGGAAAATAAATCTTGTAGAAATTCTTTTGGATATATTTAATCTTGTTATTACTGAGAAAAAGCTTAAAAAAGTGAGAGAAGCATCACCTCATGAAATTGTGGAGACATTAATCAGGAGAATGATGGAAGATGATGCAACAGAACAGGTAATACAAAATATTTAGTCCTACGGTTTGCATATAAAAGCAATAAGGAAGTTTTCCAGTAATGTTTTCCATAGCAGAACTTCTTCCACTACTGAGGAAATGGGTCTCCACACCATTAATGTAATTTTGCAGCAAAGAAAGTCAAAGTGTTTTTTTATCATGGGAGTGGCTTGTGTGGGGGTATTTTGGTTTTGTTTTCTCAGGAAGACTTTGTTTCTCAAATGCAGAGACTTCAAAACTATTAAGATTATCAGAGAAATTACCTGAAGCTTTATAATTGATTTGGGGCTTTTTTGCATTATTGTCTCTTCTTTTCAGAACAGTTAGTTTTGAGCAGAGCTGCCTAACAAAGCTGATGAGTGAAAACATAAGCCAGTCCCCACCAGAACAGAGCAGTAATTCTGTCCCTGACAATGACAATAGGAAATAGTGCCACAGGAGAGCTCAGTATCCCCACCGTTTTCCATGTTAGCCCCTCCTTATCCCATGTTTTCCTCAGCACTGGGCATTGTTTGCTGATGGATGTCACAGTGTACTTGTTTTTAATCAGTAGGTAACACATTTGTATACCTGCCAAAGAGAGGCCATTTGTAGGTGAAAGCACAATCATATTTAACAAATGTCTTAGCGTATAAATATATATGTTACCTTTTCTTTAAAAAGTGTTTTTCTGTATGTGTGGATACAGATCAGTAAATGACGATGAAAAATCTGTATTTTCCCAGGCTTGGAGGTGTATGGAATTATCCGTGGGTCACGTCGCCCTGGCTCAGTTAGCAAGCCTACAGAGTCTTTGTTGGGGCTGTCCTGACATGAAATCCAAATGCCTGCATCTCACTGGAAAAACTCTTCGTTTACTTGCCAGTAACACAGATCCAGTACATTCAGACATTTACTGGAGGCCAGATGATGTGGTATGGATTGTTCTATGCATTTAAGTTCCTTCCTGTGTGTGGTTTGTCTGCCACAATTGTTTTTCTCTGTCTGCCCAGATCGTGCTGCTCTTCAGTTAGAGCTAGGTTTGCATATTCCATGCAGGCCATACTAAAAATGTATACTGAACCAAGTAATTTTTTAAAAATGCTTCTGCCTACATATCTTTCTCATGCAGATAATGTTTTTATTCATTCCTGATTTATGCTAATTATCCTATTTTCAAAAGAGAAAAAAAATTCCTTGAATGCTAAGCAGCCAGGGTAGGTTGGCTTCAATCTCAAAAATGCCATGTAAGAAAAGGAAAGTTGGTTGAGTCTTCAATTAAGGTGTTCAGAAGAAATGAAATGAGGACAAATATCAGAAAAGAAAAATCTTGAAGATTGTATAGGGGACCTTTTTATTTTCTTTTTAGTCACTGAGCAACCTGTTCTAGTCAAAGTCCTTGTGCACTGCATGGGTGGCTGGACTAGATGACCTTTAAAGGTCTCTTCCAACCCCACACATTTTATGATTGTCATCATCACATATTAAGAAATTGTGATGCCTGATAATGTTGCTAAATCTCTCACCCTGAAGGGATTCATATAGTGAGATGATTTCTTTTAAGATGAGTTCCATTTCCACCTAGACTTTCACAAAAGAAATCAAGCCAGTCATGCTTAAAGGAACGACTAATTATTTTATTTCTATACTGTGATGAGTAGGAAGAAACTAAATCAGACATTGCAGAAAGTTCCCTGACTTCAGCAGAATGCAGTGAACAGGAAGCAACAGGCAGCAGTTTGCCAGCTGATGAATGTCAATATGAGAAGAATAGGAAGAAAATACAGGAGTTAAAGGTACCTCAGCATTTGTGCCTGCACTAGAATTTGAATGTTCTCTTTCTAAATCTAACAGTCACCTTACCATGTCAGTTCTGTTTGAACTAATAATAAAAATGTTTGTAACAAATTTGACCTTAAAAAAGGAAAAGATCTCCAGGACACCCCCCAAAAAACTGCTTTCCATCACTGCTCTGCTGTGTATCTGTCTTGGCCTTCAACACATCCAGTGGAAGCTCCTGATGGAGCTTTCCCAGTTGCTCTGAGAAAGAAATAATTTCTCCTTCAGTGGCTTCCCAGTGATTGACCATGAAGCAGGCAAGACAAGATGAACTAGCAGCAGGGACCATAACATTTTGCAGACTGGGAACAAAGAAAAGTTACTTCTGTCACAGAATATTTGTAAAATTCTTAGAAAATTTAAGTTGTTTTGTATGGTGAGCTGTTCTCTGTTAACTACTGCAGTTCAAAACACGCTAGGAATTAGGAATGTACAGTCTTGCTACTATAATCAGTAAATACCTGATATAAGAGATTTGTGTATTTATTTGTATTAAATATAGTTAACTGTCAATAAAAACTACTGAGAATTGGCAGAAAATTCCTTTTTTCAAAATGCCTCTTATTGCCTGGAATGTAAATACTGTTGTGCTACACTTTTTATAGTAAAGACAGTATCTTATCAAAACATTTTTTAATGTGTAACAGATGTTGGTGTCTGCTAAATAATTAATCTCTGTTTGCATATTTTCATCGTACAGTAAGGAAATGCCTTAAAGAGGAGAAAAAGCATTAAAATTAGTAATGAAAGAGCAATATTTTTTCATATACATGTAACAAATGTTTAATGCTAATACATATGTAATATAAACCTTTTTATTATCCAGAAGGAACATAGGTTGGCTCAGAAATACCTTTCTCAAGCCAGTGAAGCTCTCCTGCAGTGTTTGGGCCTGGCTTTCACTCACAGCATGACTGAGGTGCTGGCGTCTGCAAGCTTGGAAATGGTTGAATGCTTCCAGCAGTTTGACCCAGGTTCAACAAGCCAGTTTTTGGCTCTTCATCAGGTAATGCAGCCAGTGTATTCAGCTGCTTTCTGGTGTAGAAAGGGTGTTTTAAGTTACATAGGAAAAAATGACTATTCATATAGCCTAAATGTGGTCATATAGAACACAAGTGTTTGGATACGTACAGAAATTAGCAGGTAAGACAGGCAGTCAAGTATGTGATGTGTTTGCTGAGTTGAAAATGTTTGATCTGTGGCTTTTAAACAATTCTAGTGTCTGTTGTGACTGACTTGGTGTTTTCATGGGTTGTTGCACACATGGAAAGATTTTAATATGAATAAATTAATGTGATTAGCTAAGATAAGAAATTACCACAAAATACAGTATCACTCTTCCCTAGCAAATATTTTTTTTTAAATCTTTCTCTGGATTTGTTCATTTATTGTTTGAGGTAGATGGGAGGGGTTTACATTCAGTTTGTCAAATCAACACCAACCCAGTGTGGTCCCATCGATAGCTCAAAGGTGTGTGAGTCACTCCTGTGAGAATGTGCTTTCATCCCAGAGAAGATGGAAGGCTTCTCTTCCCTACATCAGGAACAAATAATAAATAGTCCTGTCATCTCCATTGTACAGAAGTATACCTGATCCTAACTCCATCCTGCACATCCAGGCAAGCACGGAGGTTGTGACAGACAGCAAGGACCTGCCTCTGTGTCAGCACTTGGGTTTGGAAATATCTCCACCCATCTGTGTAATGGACTGGGCAGGTCTTTTGATATATCAGAAAACAGCTAATGCTGGGTTCATGGCTCAGTGCTTTGTTCCTGTACTCCTGCAGGACACCGTGTTATTTATGGTTTGCTGTCACACTTGTTAGTGAGCAGTTAATTAGATACTTGTTAGTGAGCAGTTAATTAGAATGTGTATCAAGGCACCGAAACCATCAGTAGTTATGTAATAGGGGTTCTAATTGACAAGCAGCTGAACATGAGCCAGCAGTGTTCCCAGGGGGGCAAGAAAGCCAATGGCATCCTGGCCTGTATTAGAAATAGTGTGACCAGCAGAAGTAGAGGGGTGATTGTCCCCCTGTACTCAGCACTGGTGAGGCCACACCTGGAGTGTTGTGTCCAGTTTTGGGCACCTCAATTCAAGAGAGATATCGAGGTTCCGGAGCGAGGACAGAGGAGGGCAACGAAGCTGGTGAGGGGCCTAGAGAATAAATCTGATGAAGAACACTTGAAGGAGCTGGGAATGTTTAGTCTGAGGAAGAGGAAGCTGAGGGGAGACCTCATCAATCTCTACAACATTGCAGAGAGGTTGGTGCTGGTCTCTTCTCACAGTTAATTAGTGACAGAACAAGAGGGAATGGCTTCAAGTTGCAACAGGGCAGTGTCAAACTGGACATTAGGAAAAACTTTTTCACAGAAAGAGTGGTTAGACACTGGAACAGGCTGCCCAGGGAGGTGGTTGAGTCACCATCCCTGGGTGTGTTTAAGGGTTGTTTGGATGTGGTGTTGGTGGAGATGGTTAAGGGGAGAACTTTGTAGAGCAGGGATGATGGTTGGACTCGGTGATCCCAAGGGGCTTTTCCAGCCTGAATAGTTTTATGATTCTATGTCTTTTGCTGGGCAAAAAATTCTGCTAATTCAATTACTATCCTGGCCAGAAGAGTTTGTATGAAAAAAAAAAAAAAGCTTAAAATGTCACTGCGTGTCAATATTAACAATCCCTTTGTATTTTTTTATTAGGTCAACCCAAATTGCTTTTTTAAAAATGTGACAGCTGCATTAAAAGAAAAACAATGAGATGCTTTAGCTTTTAGCAGTCATTGGTTCAAAGTACAGGATTAGTATGTTTGCTGAAAGGAAAAGATATAAAATCTTACCCTTCATACTGCTTTGTAGGAAGTCTGTTAAATTGTGTGGTGTGATGGCTGCACAGAAAGGACTCAGCTTGTATGAAAGGCTAAGTTCAGAACACAGGCATTTACCTTTCCGTGTAGATCTTAGATGACCAAATGCAGAAGCATAGATGATACAGTCGAGTAAATTCTAGCTATTCATGTTCAAGAGATCTTAGTAAATTATTACCAGACTGTTTACATTAGATTGTAAACTCAAATAGTAGACTGGCTTTTGCTAATCTGTCACCTTTCAAACAAAGGACGTTTTCTTTAGCATAAATATAAGTTAGAACAAATACTGAGTATGTGTATTTATATAGTATTTTTAAGAGGGAAAATAAAAATATATAAAAATTTTGCAGAGCTGTTCAGCATCTCTGATGATGAAGAGAGTCCTTCTAACAGTTACATCTGACACCAGCAGCTCTCAGCTGGCAGCACTACTGCATCTTCAGAATCATTTAAAACAGAACAGAAGCACAAGTGATCTTCTAAAAAATGTGGAACAGCAACTGGCTGCTACTTCAGTGGTAACTTTTGGAGATGTGCTGCTTATTATGGATTCATATTTATGCTATATGAGTATACAGAGAGACACATACAGAAGTATTCAACATACATCCACACAGAGATACATATTGTTTCAGTTATTTCTGGAATTAATTTTCACCTGCTTTCTTTAAACTCTATTAAGCTTCCTTTTTTTCTTATTTGAGTCATGAGTTGACATGGTCATTAATTGAAATATATTTTGATTAATATGGTATGTCCCGTCATTTTTCATGCTTGTTTATGGGTGTGGCATGAGCTATTCCACTCAGCAGTGAGATTTTAAGGATGCAATTCCGGATTTTCTTGCAGTTACAATTTGGTATAGCTGGATGTCAAAGTTGTGTTAACTGTGCACTTAAATCACTGATTCCATGTGCGTCTTGCCCAGTGCAGCTGAAGATGGCACTGCAGAAGATCCCTACAACAGAAGACTCCTGTCACTGTCTGGACAGCATCCAGTTGTATTGTTTGAGAGAAATGTATCCTGCTCCCTTCCTTTGCTAATACTCTGCTAGGATTTGATAACATTTTAACTTCATAGATAGTTTTGCAGTGGCCAAAAGAGTCATGTCGTTATGAAGATTGGAATAAGTTACAGTATTTGTAATTTGTTTTAAATAATATGTGTAAGTTCTTCTGCACTGCATAAAAATTGCACAGTCACAAAATGGTTGAGGTTAGAAAAGATCTCTGAAGGTCATCTTGTCCCACCTGTCTGCTTAAGCAGGACCACCTAGAGCCAGTTGCCCAGAACCATGTCCAGATGGCTTCTGAATGTCTCCAAGGATGGAGACTCCACAGCCTCCCTGGACAACCTGTTCTAGTGCTCAATCACCCTCACACAGAAAAGGTGTTTCCTCTTGTTTGGACAGACCCTCCTGTCCTGAAATATCTGCTGAATGTTTGGGGTTTTGCTGTTGTTTTTTTTAATATTAGCACTGTCTTTCTTAGAATTCTTACTAGTTTTCTGATGAAAGAACTGAGATTGGGATTTATGAAATCTCTTCAAATAATACTGTTTTTGAACTATTGTACAGGCATGGAGAAATCTTTGTATTCCTGTTGAACATTTTAATATAATAGATGAATTGTCAACCAATTTCTACATAATTATTCTCCAGCATTCAGAAGACAGGTATGAAATTTCATAATTTGAGTTTGTTACAAATACCATCTTTTTTTTACCTGTAAATAATCACTCTTTTGGTTGTTAATTGCCTTTTATTTCTCCTTTTGCTGGACTTGAATTTTAGGATAGTGAACAAATTAATATATAAATAAAGCTGCATGCAGCTCAAAGATGAACCTTTTTTTCTACTTCTGATTTCCCTAATTATCTTCTTAATCTCCAGGGGTCACTTGGAAGGTTTTGGGCCCTTCTTGCTTATCTCCTAAATTCTGTTAATCATTTCCAGCTCTTAGTTCTTATGTTCTTGAAGACACTGGGGGGGCGGGGGGGGGCCTGTTTAGCTTTTTAAACCCACAGATGATGTCATTAGTGCAACCTAATTGGTGACTACTCATCAAGTGAGCTATAGCAGGTGACTGAGTGCCTTCACCAGCTGGGAAGAGTCTTAAACCAAGTGCAAATCAACCTTACTGGGTAAATGGCAATGAAAGAACTTTCCTTAGAGCTCTTAGTTTGTTCCGATGAGATTTGGTAGTTTTTTAACTGTTAAGATGGGGGTAAATACTGCATCTTTAGGGTTTTTGTGAGCACATTAGAGCATAATAATCACACATCTGATAAACTTGCTTATTGTAAACAAGGCTGAACAGTTAAATAATCTACTCAGCAGTTTTCTACTTTCTATAGATCAAATTTGTACAGTTCATTGATTAAGAAGCCAATAGTAAATACTGCACAGCAAAAAGGAAAACCCACTCAGCCAGTGGGTAAGTACCTAGTACCTAAATATGTGTTTCATTATCACATTTAATGTATCTAGTCACAATTTACAGAATTCTTCTTTATATTTGAAGGCTGAAGTTGTTAAATAATTGTAGAGTTTTTTTCATTGTACACTTCTGTATATGTTTTCTGCTAAAAATAGATATAGTTATGTAATTTCAAATAATAGCATGGCTTTGGAAACTGATGTGCTCTTCACAGTGATTTTGTCAAGTCAAATAGGATGTTTCAAGATAAGTCTTCAGATGGTGTTTTCCTGCTTTTAGCAATGCAAGCTCAAGTTTCTCGATTTCCTGTGAATTCTGATACATTTGGTGTTTTGCTGGAAAAAGTGCGTCTTTACAAGCAGCAAAAGATGAAGAGTTACCTTAAGCAGACTGTCATTCAGAACTTGCAAGAGTGTGTCTCCAAAACAGATGTGGTAATATCTTATTACCTTATATTTAAAATAGAGTGAAAAAATGTGTATGCATAAACACAAATTATGCAGAATTTTCAGTTTGTTCCAAGTGTGACATCTGTAGTCACCACAGTTACTAAATTCTGTGTACTCTGCTTCAGAATTAACCTTCCTGTGTTAGTGTGTTGCTGTTTTTAGTGTCATTCAGCAGCTTTGAAATGTTCAGTAGTTTATCAGAGTTGAAAATGGATGCAATGTGATAATTTTACTTGAAAATGTACTGTATGTCTCAGATCTGCATTTGCAAACGTACATTGGCTTTCCAATCACAGGAAAGCCTCAGCTGTCCAAAGGAAAAAAAAGTGATCCCAGATCTCAACCCGTTAATCAAAATAAAACCATCTTAGGCAGAGATTTCTTACTGATTTTCAGCACAGAAAAGTTTCTTTCTAGGGCACACAGTATCTTTTGCACCACAGCTGTGTATTTGGACTCGGGTGATCCAAATCTATTAGTCACATCTCATTGGAACTCCAGGTTTGTAGCTGTGAACAGTCTGAAATTCTAGATGATTAAAGTTTTCTGTTGCTGCAAGGAGGCTCAGTTCTATCAGGACACTTTTTTACAAGCAGCAAACACAAGTTGTGTAGCATAAAGGTACTCTGGAAAAGCCTGTGACTTTCACATAAGCTTTTAAGCTGTAAGGTAATGAAGTTTTTCACACATTAAACGTCAAGTCTACATCCTTGCATTCTAATTTACTTGAATTTTGGCTCCATTAGGTAAAGTTTGGGTTTTTCAATATCAATAAAATTTCACTGTTAAACACAGTATATCAACAACAGTTTATATAGAACTATTTCCATCATTAATATAAAGGTTAAAAATATAGATCATCCTGATTTCCTTTATAAGTTTTCATTATTTGATAGCACAACGTTGACACACCTGATTCTTGAGTTGTAATTCCATTTTATTAATGTGTCCACTCCTTTCAGTCAAAATAACAATTGTTGCAGGTGGTCAAAGTGTCCATCACTTTTTCTCCTGTTTATGTCCAGCCCTTGTTGTAATGGCAGGTTAGGTGGAGATTCATGTAGGTGTGTAAATAAAGAAGGTGGTGGTAAGAGAATGTTAGAACAGAGGAAAAGAAAAAAGTGGCTTAGGTTTTTCAAATGCAAGTGCATGACAGTTTTCAGAAGTTACCTGTGCACCTTGCCACACAGACACAGCTGTGGGTGACAAGTCTGTTCATTGGTGACAACACTCTGCCATTTAGCTGAGCATTTTTCCAGTTAGTGTTTTTGTGTCCATCTATATTGGCTTTTAAAAGCTTCAGTTTTTAGTTTCATTTTCCTCTAATGATTTCCCTAATGATTCTATTCTCTCCTTATCTATTTTCTTCATTCTGTTTAGTTTTTTCATGAATTGACCCCACGCTTTCATTTGCTGCTTCTACATTCATCTTGCAGTTTCTGTTTACTTCTCCAAGTTGTCCTTGAACTATTTCTTACTGTTATTCAGAGCACCTCATTATCTTTTCTTTCTGCTGGACTTTTCTGCTGTTCCCCATTGAAATTGCAGAAGCATATTAATCACTTCAATAATAAATACTGACATATTATACTGAATCCTATGTTAGAATATTTTTGGAAATGCTGATAGGAGAGATGTTTTGAAGTAGTTTTGAAACTGACCTTTTGTATTTATAATTTTCATTGTATGTTGTTTCAAGTCACTTGATTTAGCCTCTGATTTAGCACAGTATATGCTCCATCCTTCTTGAATAGCACTTTGTAAGTACTTTGTTTTCTGTTGCAATGTGTGTGACAGACTCCAACAGAGAGAACCGATGATGATGGACATGGTTTGACATCAGATTTCTCTGAAATACTAGAGATTATGGAAGAATATCTGAAACCAGTGCTGTCCCAGTTTGATTTTTCTGATACCAGGTAAGACATTTAGACTTGTTCTACCAACATTTGTGACAATAAAATGGTGACTCAAGTCCTACAAATACAGGAATGGTTTTAGCAAGGACAGACCCCGCTGAATGAACTTTTCACACCATGAAAGACACTCTGTGCAGGAAATGCAAGACTAAGAGGACTGAGCCACATGGTAGACTAATGGCCATTTCTAACAAGCACTGTTCTCCACCTTAAGTTATGCAATATTGAGATCAGCATGAAGCATTATAATTTAACTTGTTAAGTTTGGGATTTCCAAAGGTAGTAATAGTACATCCTTTGTATAACATTTAAGTAAGATTGAAGCAGTTTTGTCTTTGCATTTCCTGTGGAAACTTTTACTTCTGTAAGTACTACTGCTGGTAATATTTTCACTGAAATTTGTCTTCCCAGAAAACAGAGCATAACAGTTTTAGCACCTGAAAATAAAATAAAAGAAGGGAAAAAAAAGGTGAAACAGAAGGACACCAAACAGACTGAAATGCAGGGTATGTGCTTTGTTGAGTACAATGTGTGTGTATGTACAGATACCAAAATGATGTCATTTTAGTTTCAGGTTTTTCCAGCCACTGAAAAGGAAAAGGCTTTAGCAATATTTTTTTTTTTCAATTTATCTTCTATATAAAGTATTTTAGCATACTTCCAAAGAGATTATTTATATGTCGGATGGAGTTCTCCTGCTGTATGTCTTGACAGTCTTCCAAACTATAAAGGCTTTAGACAGCTAAAGAAAATGGCTTTATTAAAAACAAGATTTTCCAGGATAGAACGGCCAAAAGAGAGACTTTTCATAAGGCTTTTAATCTTCTTTTGTTTTTTTCCCCTGCATTTTACTTTAGGGACTCTGTCAGGTTGTTTGCTTTAATGCAAGCCTAGTGCTGCAGTGTGTTTCTAAACACATGCCAAGAGAAGAGGCAATCAGGTCCATGGTTTGCTTTGGGGAGGAATTTTTTGCTTTATGGTGAGGAGCAGTGAAGTTTGCATTTGCTTTTACGTGCAGAAATTTATGTCTGCAATCTGGCAGCTGGCTGCTTCTGTTCTGCCAAGGCTGAATAACTTCTTTTCCCTGTATTTGTTATTTCTCTGCAGAACAGGAAATCTTGTCCTTACTATACTCAGTACTTAATTAACATAAACAAAAAGTTTCCTACAGAAGGACACAGTTAGTATGGGATAAGAGCTCCTTAAGAACTCTATACTCTTTAGCCAAACACTGCTAAGGCAGTTCTGCATTTCCAAACATCATTTCATTGAGTGCAAGTTGAAGCCCAACACCTGGGCTTCAGTCTGAAAGGGTTGGCTAGTAATAAGGGGCTATTTTTCCCTCTGAAAGAATGGGTTATTAGCAGTGCATGTGCATAGAAGTTTTGACAAATTCTTAGGAGTAATGGTATTTTTAAAAAAGTATTTTTGCATAGTGCACTTAATCTGTGGTAAAATGGAGATCAAGTGTCATCATAGCAGAGGAAATTTAAGGGTTTATATCTAACTTATTTATATACATAATGGGAACTGCTGAATCTCAGTCATGTTCTGTCACATTTCTCCAGGTGTACCTATGGATTTAGGATTGTGTGTGGTTTTACTGGGAGATGCATTATTTATGGAATTGCCTTTGGAAGCTCTGAGTGTTTTTAAAGAGGAAGGAGTGAGTTCTGTATCCAGAGATTTTTCTCTCCAGATTCTTTACAATCGAATACATCTGGCTGGATCAGGTACTATTAGATATACATTTTTTGCATTAACATAATCATGCAATGAACAAGATACTTAAAATTTAAATAATATGAATTATGTATTATATTTTACTGTAAGACTGCTACATACAATAGGTTTCCAGTATTTTAGATGCAATAGGTAGTGCAGTAGACTTATTTCAGTAACATACTGGCTGATTATAGTTGCAGTGCTAGCTAATCTAAAATAACCTCTACATATTAAAGAATTATGCAAAAGCCAGTGGAATCTGAAATGGCTTGCAGAGTTGCAGTAGTGTAAGTATGGTCTTAAACTCTTTAAAGTTGTTTTCAGCTGTGCTGAAGAAACTAAAAAAAGAATTTAGAATTCCATTAATTTTCTTTAACTTTAGTGTAAGACTTTGCTCAAAATATCTAAATGTAAAAACCTTCTAGTAATGGAGCTTCTTCCTTCCTGTAGAGCTAAGATTACATGAAGGTCTCCAGTCAATCCAGTGATGCTTGGGCCATGCATGAGCAAACCCAGATCCCACAGGCTTTATGGACTTTGTCCATTACTGCAGACACTTGCACCCTTCAGTGAAATGACTTTTTTTAAGGGAGATAGTTGGACAGTTGATAAACTTGTCCTTGTGGGATATTAACACTATTTATTCTAAAAGTTATTAATAAATGCAGACCCTGAGCAGTTATTTTGTATAAATCATATATACCTTCTATTACTAAAGTTAACATTTGAAGTAACATTTTGCTCATATATAGATAGAAACATTTTAACTCAAATTATTAAAACTAGTGGGCCTAAGCTAAAAATATTAGGCTAAATTTATAAAATCTCACTCTGTACCATGAAAGTATTATATTCCAGAGAGGTTCTTGGAATAGTGCTTCTAATATTTAGGGCCTTCAATATAACCTGTCCTCTGTTTTTCCGTTTCACCCCTCCTTTCTAAAGGGAATGAATTGTGAATAATCTGAGATCAGAATATTTTTCTCTACATACACAGTCATAGACTGTTACAGGTCTGTTAGAAATAGGAAATTTAGAACCTGTGGGGTGTTTTTTTCAATTTCTGCTTTGCCCCTTTGTAAAGTGAAACCTCCTATGGCTGCATAATTTTAGAAGCAGAGAAATGAGAGGAAGCACAGTTGAAAAGTCTATGTCTGTGCAATAGTGAAGTAGCCACTGAAGGGGAGGAGCTCTGACCACCAAGCAATAGCCTGTCTCAGGCTGCAGCAACTGGGTGTGCACACTGAGACCTGTCTGAGGTTGTACTTGGACAGTTGTCATGTATGCAGTGATAAATATGTCAGTTTGCTTTTTAAAAATTTCTTAGAGAACTAAAAAGTATGATTCAAATATTAAACTTTCATCTTCCTTTTGATCTCTGTGTGTCTCACAGAAACTTCAGTTATTCTAGAAACATCAGCAATTAGTAGATGTGGCAACAGGCTTAGAAGATGCTTTGGTAATCACTGTTCAACCCTGTCCTAAATCTGCAATGGAATGAAGCATTTCCATGTCTAAGGGATCACACCTCTTACTTATTTTCCACTTTGAAGCTATTATTTTTAGACAAGAAGGTTTGGGGAATGTCCTTGCCTTGCTGTGATGTCAAATCAGTATTTTTTTCTAGTTTAATCTGTTGTTACTACATCATACCAAATATAAGCGGCCCTTCAAGAAAGCTGTGTTTTCCAAAACTGCCTGTACCTTAAAAAACCCTGTTCTTTTTAATTCCACAGAGACTCAAGCTAAAACACATATTGAAAAACGTAAAGAAACAAAATCAAAAGCTCATCAGAAAAAGAACGTCAAAAAGGTTAATTTTTCACACTTTAAAAATAAACTCTATAGGAGTAGCTCTTGTTTTTGTCTAAAAATGTTAGAGATATACAAGTGGCTTTCACAGAAGCTCGTTACATACATCAGAATTCTGAAGTGAAATAAGTATCATATAAATCCATAAGAATTTTTATTATTGTTGGGTTTACAATAATGACAGAGTTGTTTGGAAAATCCTACTCTGTGTAACTGTGATGTACCCAACAGCTCAACAAGGGAGCTACTTCAAGTTACTGAAATGCTTCCCTCAACAATACAGTATACTTTATATAGTGTATGGACATATTTTTATAAATCTACATGTATGTATGCATATATACCTATATATGTGTGCACACATGGGTTATATATGTAATGTATGTATATGCGTGTAGATAGTGCAGAATAGCTTTATGCTTTTAATTTCCAGTGGCAACTGAGTATTATGCTGCTTTTAATCCTACTTTCAAAACTTCAGATCATCCTTTTGTTAATTGTTTGACAGAATGCAGTACTGTTAATATCTGATTGAAACTTCTGCATATAATAGAATAATGTATTATTTTTACTTGTAGACACCAGTTGATTCTGTTCCATCCTCTAATTGCTTGCCTGTTGATACTCGTAATTTTAAATGTATCCTTTCACAACTTATTAGCTAAGTTTACCATTTAAACCTTCTTTCTATATTTTTCACATTGCATTGTTTCCACTTAACTGTTTGTCAGACATTGTGGATCCCTATGATGAAGGAAGAGATGCAGGTAGTATATCACAGAACCCCAGACTGGTTTTGGCTGAAAGGGACCTTAAAGATCACCCAGTTCCAACCCCCCTGCATGGGCAGGGACACCTCCCACCAGACCAGGTTGCTCCAAGCCCCATCCAATCTGCCCTTCAACATGTTGAGGGCAACAACACTTCAACAAGTGTTCAAGTAATATCTCATCTCAATCTCCCCTCTTCCAGTTTGAAACCATTTCCCCTTGTCCTGTCACTCCATCCCCTTATCAGAAGTCCCTCCCCACCTTTCCTTTAGGCCCTGCAGGTTCTGAAAGGCTGTTAAAAATTTTCAGGGCTCTGGAAACTCAGTTCTGAGCCTCTAGAACAGAACTGTATGAGCAGTGCTGGTGTTTTCATTTCTTTAGAGTGTTCTCAGGGTATCTAGGATTTTTTCTTCGTGCTTTTAAGTCATTAACCTGTCTACCAAATAATCCTTGTCAATTATAAAATGTACCTTTCAAAGGAGAATTGCAAACAATTTCACTAGGAAAATGTCACAGTTGCTATAGTTTTAAAAGCCAGACTTAGGTTTCAAAAAACGTACGATCTAGTGATGCCCCAAAAACCTCTAAATATTGTATTGTCATTTGAAGTTATTGAAATTAAAATTGTCCAACATCCTTTGTGGCATATTAAGCTCATAATGATGAAATGTGTTGTTACAGAAGCTTTCAGTCCTTCTCAAAAAATAAAGGAAATCCTAGAAAAATACCATGACCCATTTACAGTACACTGGGAAGGAGTTATTGGCAACATACACGTTCCAAGGTTTGTAATACTCTGTCTGCTTTTGTGTTTTATCCACGTTTATTTTTTAAAATTGTGCCTATTCCCAGAGGCTTCAGTCATAAAGTAGGGTCACATTTTGCTCAGCTGTTAAACACAAAGCTAATCACTCTCTTTGTTTCAAACACATAATTAGATCTGTAGACAGAATATTTCAGGGATCTGAAATTCAGTGCCACAGAGTGATTGAGCCAGATTGATTGTGTCAGAATTGCTGTACATACGGATAATCCAGTTTGGACAGAAAGTCTCTTGGTGCAGTTTTTGATGAGTATTATGTGTGTACGAGAGCAGGCATGTGATTTCTGGCTTTGCTCGTAACAGTTTTTAAATCCAAGTGTGAAAAGGCAGCTGTAAGATTGAGCACCAGTTTCAGAAGCAAAGCAGTGAAAGTTCATCTCAGTTCACCATTTCAAGCATCTGATTGTGCAGCTAGTACCATTTTAGGGAGTTTCTGCATAAACTCGCTTCCTTCTTGTTGCGAGCCGATCCCGGGGGGTCCCGGCTGTCAGGGGCTCCCCCGGTGTGCAGGGGTTTGTGACGAGCCCGAGGGCCACACGCGGCGCTGCCTGTCGCGGAGGAGCGGCCGCTGCGGGGCCGTGTTTTGGGGCGGCGGTTCGGATGCACCCCCCGCGCTCAGACATTGCCTCTGAGACCAGTGTTTGCTGCACGAATTAATCGGTTTATTAAGGGTTGACACAAACTGAGGGATGAGGCTTAGGGAAAACGCAAACATGGCAAATGGCTACCAGGGATCAGGGAAGCTGTGCTGTTAAGGCCTTCTCCCGTGAGAGGGTTGTGGATCAAAGGAGAGGGCGGGAGCCCACGTGGGAACATCCGGGCAGGCCTCGGCCCCACCTGCTGCACTCGGTGCCTTTTAACACCCCCCCCCCATGACCCCCCTGTCCAGTCAGTGTCACTGCCCAGAGCCAAGGAGCGTCCATGAGCCCCAAGTTAGGGCGGTGACTGCCAGGGGCACAGGATGGCTTGTGGCCCATCCTTTCTGTCCCGCACCACATCCCTTGTTTTGGGTTCAGTTGTCCTTGAGAAGCAAGTCTGTTTAGTCCGTGAGCAGGGAATAATCAGCAGAGGCCTTCGCTGGCATTTTGTTTAGACTGATGTGGGGAAGACGAACCCTTTCCCACACTTCTTGATAGAAGTACTTCACTGCTAAGATCATAGCAATAGAGGGATAAAAGGGATCTCAAAAGGTAAAGCAGTGACAAGTTCTGTGGGCGAGTCAAAAGAGTCATTGCTGGATCTGCCTTTATAGCTGTCATGTTAATCTGTCCCTTGACATCCTCTCTGCTTAGGTAAATCACTGTCTAGGGGCTCTAGGCTTTCTTCGTAACAATTACAAAGATTTTGTTACCTGTTCCCAAATGGCATAGTTTTTGCTGCCAGCTAGGCTGCTCATTTACATCTCTTTTCAAAACCTGATTTCTTCATGTCCTGGTGGGTGCAAGCATGGATGTTAGACCAAGTACTGCTCCTGCAAAGCTGTACAGTGCCTACAGCAATAACTTAGTCTTTTTTAGGAGAGTATGCTATTTATCTAGAAGCGCATCATGCCTCTTGTTTGAGAAGCTACTAAACTAAGTATGCCTTCCTGTTAAAATTATTAATAAGTCCATATGAGTTAGCACACTTTCGATATTATTCTGCAGTCTTGTTTGTCTTCATGCTTTGCATGCTGACTTTTCCTGTAAATATTTCTGAAGTAAATGACACTGACATGTTTGCTATGGATAATTTCCAAGAAATAGTCTTGTAAAATAGTAACACAAAAGTAACTTCTTTCTTTTTTTCTTCTTTCCTTTCAGTCAAGCTGACTGGGAGCAGCTGCTGACAAACTGCAGTGCATTTCTATTCTACGGGATGGAGAGATTCATGTCCCATGTTTTACCCAGCAGGCTGGTTGCTATGAACATCCCAGGTGAGATAAGCAAACTGAACTTACTTATTTTTTTAATTGTACCACCTTTTGTTCCCAGTTGTGTTTATTTCATGCTATATCAGTACCACAGTATTGATGTTAGAAGTTAAGGGCTTTTTTCAAGATCTGGGGTTTTAATCAGAAACACTTTGCATTACCCAGGTTTGATTCAGCTGCACAGCTTTCTTTTTATTCCTCACCAAGAAGCTAAGTCCTTCCCCACTTCCAAATGTTGGAATTTCTTAAGGTAAAATAATTGAGTCATCATCTGGTGGTTTTCCCAATAACTACTCTCTTTTTCCATGAAATTTATTATTTATTAACAATTAAAAAAATTATTATTAAGAACAACCTCTGCGGTACCACTTCTCCAAAATTTCTCAGTCTCCACTTAGGCAAAGCAGAGTTTTCTGTCACAATTGGATTAATGATGAATGCCAGGCTGGATGGGGCTTGTGCATTTATCTATCTCCATCTTAGACGAGTTTATAACTACAGAATTGAGTGATACAGGCCATTGGCCTGGAATAAGTGGTATATGGACTTTATGCTTGTGGTGAGCTGGCACTGGAAAAAATCCTGCAACACGGTGGAAAAGCGTAGCAAAGTTACATCAAATATTGTTAGGATGGCTTTGTTAGTGTTCTTTCATCTAATCCTTTACAATATTGGCTGAAATATATAAATTTTAGATATTTAGACTATGTTCAAGAAAGTAATTAACTTAAGAAAGGTCTAATTTAGTTGTATTTATTACGTTGGGCATTATTATTAGTGCAAATACCATTGCTATAATATATTTTTTCCAGGATGCCATTTGATGATGCTCCTAGATCTGGTGCGATCGAAGCAAAGTTATCAAAGAATTAGAAACTCCAGTATCCACAAAAGGTAGGATAATGTTGATCTTGGTAAATATTTTGGTTTATTTTGATAGGCTGAGAGAGTTGGGGTGTTCAGCCTGGAGAAGAGAAAGCTCCAGGGAGACCTTAGAGCACCTTCCAGTGCCTGAAGGGGCTCCAGGGAAGCTGGGAAAGGACTTTTCATCAGAGAAGATAGTGATAGGATGAGAGGTGATGGTTTTAAACTGAGAGAGGGGAGGTTTAGGTTAGATATCAGGAATAAATTCTTTACCACGAGGGCAGGAAGGCACTGGCCCAGGTTGCCCAGGGAACCTGTGGCTGCCCTATCCCTGGAAGTATCCAAGGGCAGGTTGGATGGGGCTTGTGCAGCCTGGTCTGGTGGGAGGTGTCCCTGCCCGTGCAGGGGGGTTGGAACGTGATGATCTTTAAGGTCCCTTCCAACCTTCACCAGTTTTGCCTGCATTTGCCAACCTTTGCCATTTTATGATAAAGTCCAGAACACAGCTGTTTGTTTTTTTCAAAACAAAGTTACAATTTTGAGTTATAAATATTTGTATTTAATTCTGCCATAGTTCTGCAGCTGATGAAATCATCTACCCAGTCCTGTTGCTTCAGTCTCTGATGATTCATTCCTTGAAAAAGAAATACAAAAAAAATTTCTCTAAAAAACCAATTTAATTATTGCAGCAACGTCTAAGTTAAAATTAATTGTGTGTAAGGCAGGTTGTACACACATCTACATATGCAAATATGCAGATCTCGGACTGTTTAAACAACCTCCTGGTGTTTTTAATAACCTTTTTCACCTCCCCTGAACAGCCATTTCCTAAACCCAAACAAAACACAATTCCTTAAACCAGTTTTTCCAACTCTGAACTTTAGTCTTACTTTAATAGATGAGTGAATCTGTCAGCAGGATTTACATGTTTAAGCCTAAAAGCTTCCAGAAAGGTTAGAATAACATTCAGTTAAAACCAAGTCACATAACTGCACAGACAAGCAGCATCTCCCCAGGTTACAGAATACTTCCATTTCCATCTTCCAGTAAAGTTAGCATGAAAAGCAGGGGCTGATAAAAAACAGATTCATCCTTCAGTTCCCTGCAGTTCCAACCCTAAATACTATCACTCCACTCCCATTACTAAAAAAATTATGCCAAAGATACTTAAATATTCAGTAGTAAAAACATCTAATTCCACTTCACAAGTGATTTGCTTTTAAGTCTCCAAACTAATGCCACACTTAACAAAGAAGCTTTTGGTTCCTGCAGAAACTTTTGTTTACCTTTAGCAGTTAAGCAGAACTGAACAAGTCTTTTCACCTGATTCCCAGCATTTTGACTGTTTTACAAAGGGTATTCTGCAGTATTTTGTACAAGTTAGTGCATTACTCCTTTCACATTTCCTGACAGGAAGCAATCCACATGGTAAAACTGCATCATGAAAAGATGAGTAGGTTACCTAATTCTTTGTATTGAATTTAAGGTGCTTGTATGAATGTTAGAAAACACATTATGCCCAGCGTACAAGAAAATGCATTCTAGCCTTCCCTTTCCCCCTGATTAAGAAGTGTTGTATATCTGGTTATATTTTTTAATAAGTTATGTACAGTTTTAGTTGCTCGATCTCATGCTTTTTATTTTCTTGAGCTGTCTACATACTGCTGTAGAGGGGTCAACAGAGACAGCAATGCTCCTGAGCCTTGCTGGTGTCCGCTCCATGCTGATCAACCAGTGGTTCACCTCCGCGCAGGAGAACGCAGAGAGGCTCGAGGTTGTGTCCCAGAGTAAGTTGGTGTGTTCATCTTTGTTGGCATGTACATGGTTTCAGGCACTCATGGAGTGTGTGGAGCTACTTGTCTCCTATTTCTCTTCTTTCTTTGCTCCTCACCAGATTTTGCCTGGAGTTTCCACAGGAGATAAACTGCTTGCAGGAGCCACCGTGTTGTTGACAGGTTGTTCTTTCAAACGGAACAATAACCTGTATAAATCAGTTTTAGTGGGGGTTATTTATGGTCATATGGTAAGAACAGGATTTCTGTGGTGAGGAGCAGTGCCCCAGGACTTGACAATCTGTAGTTACATCAACTTTGGGGACAACAAAAGCTGGAGATAACACACATCTGTAGAGATACAAAACTAAATCTGTAAAGGTATCATTTTTCCTTAAGCTTTAAAAGTGAAGACACCAGGCTGTATGGTTGATATTTTCTGTTTTTTTAAAACTTCTGTTAAAAACTCACAGAAACTAACATTTCTTTCCAGATTTCTTGAGCTTGGGTAGAACAATTGGGCAGACAGTCCATGTTCTTCAGAAGGGAAAGACTGACAAGGAAAGAGATTCCATTAAAAGTAAGAATTAAAAAGAATTAGCACAACAGACTGGGAGTGCATGTTAACTGGGACCTGGTAGACCTATGGGTAGTTCACAGGTATAAGTGAAAGCTTTCAGGTGAGCTATGAGAAATGTTTGTGACACTTGTTACAAAAGCTGAGAGTGGGAAGACCACTGATACTATATTGTAATTTGAGTATTTGTATTTTACATCTGTAAAATTTTGAGGGAGACACTGTCATAGCTGACCAAAAGCTAAAATTCCTGCTCCTCTGAACTGTCACAAAATGAAGCCATGTGACTGAAAAGTTACATCAGGAGCATGAGATGAACAATATTATGGTATGGATTATAGACTGCAGAAAGATAAGTTGAAGCTGCAGTGACTACACAGCCTGCATTGTAGAGGGCACACACTATATATATCTATGAAATTCCACCTGGCATCTTACTGGGGAGGAGAGAAGGATTTTTTTAGTAAAACAACTTTTAATATAGTGTTTATAAAAATATATTGATATATTTCATTGCATGGGACTTACCTCTTAAAACAAGCATAAATAAAATAAATTCTAATTGCAAGTTACAGTCATGGAACTGAAGAGAGAGAGTTGAGATCAGAAACGTTGCCCAGTTTTTATTTCTTCAGAAAGTGCTTCTTGGGTACCATGGCAGTTAGTATTATTAAAGACTATTATAAAAGTGCCACAGATATTAACGAAAGACAAGATGTGATAAGTTGCTGCACTTCTTACTTTCAGTCACGCTCAGAATAACAGTGCTTTCCAAATGTTTTGCAGTGGCCGCAGGAGTTCCCGGGTCCCCCGGGGACACGGCAGAAGATCAGGCCCCTCCTCTTCCTGCCGCTCTCCCGTCGCGGTCCAACTGTGTCCTGTACGGTTTGCCCAACCTCACCAGGGCGTAGTTTGTGTCACTTTTCCTGAGAGGTTGATTTCCATTTCAGATGTTAACGGTTTGATGTTGGAAAAAGTGCCGGAAAAATACCAAAGAACTTGTATTTTAGCAATTTCAGTGAGTACTCTAAGGTTTTCTGAATTTGGTGAATCCCTTAGAAGATCCTGGTGAGCAACAGCAGATAAAGGAAATTTAAAAAACCCTGACATTAAAGGAAACGAGGCTGGTGTTTTTGGGCATTGATGCATGTGTGGAATTGGAATGGATCACTGTCAGTACTTCCATTTGGAAAAACCTTTCCTTGATGTATTTTATTTTTAAGTGGAAGACTTGTCAGGAGCATAGCTGTAACATTTACCAGGTCACCTTATTCTGAGTTAATTGATTTTTAACTTTTTATATAGCAGTAGCTGTAGTTTAATTAGAAAACAAGATACTATTAAAGAAAATGTTTTATAGTTGTTTTGCTTTCCTTATTTCCCTATGGATTTCTTGAATAACATATAAATATTAATTAACATTATTTTGGATTTTAGAATATTACATATATAAAGTTTGTAACGTTCTCTATTAATCAACAATGCATTTTTTTAATACATACTTCAAAAATTTACTTGTAGTGATGATGGTAGGAAAAAAGAAAAATAATTTAGCACTTAGGGAAAGGACAGAACTTTAGTCATTATTATTTAATAATTAAAAACCATTTTTTAAGAGTCTCTCTTTTTCCCAGTGATGTCTGTTTCCTGTGATATATTTTTTTTTGTGTTCCTGACAGAATAGAGCATTAAATGGCACTGAAAAGATACTGTTCTTGGCTACTTGCTGTGCTGTAGTTACTTAGAGCCTGGTAAGAGCTGTAGGGCTATATTGACCATAATTACAAAAAACTGACATGTAAAGTATTAATTTCCACATCATTCTCCATCACAATCATTGCTGTGAAATTGTTTTTCCCTGCTGTTAATGGTGTTTTTAACCTAAATGCCATTTCTCTTGCTGCTTCTTCTGTAACATAAAAGGCCTTGAAAAAAGAAGTGAATTTGGTGGGAAACATGAAGCTTTGTCTGCCTTGCTACATGACAGGTTTCATGAATTTGTTTTAACTTCCACCTTCTTAAAATAAGAAATTTTGTAAGTAATGAAGTCCAGAAAAGTTTTGATGCTTCAGAAATTACAGTGTAGTTCTTGGAGAATAATGCAGGAAAAAACTGGCAAGCTTACAAAGCTTAGAAAAGCCATTGATACAATGTTCTTACTGCATAGTTTGCTACTGTGGTTTCATTTATGAAACTGATGGAAATAACTTAATCTACCAAAGTGTTTTTCTCCAAAAATATTCCCATCTGTATTTGGTACTTTAACCCTAACTACATTGCAACAGCCTCTGTCAGAAAGATGAATGAGTATGACCAAAAATTTCTTTGCAGTCTGACAGCACAACTTTATCAGAAAGCATCAGTAAAGTAATGGCCTTATCCAGGAACCTTCAGATCTGAAAGCTTCTCTTGTTGAGAGGAAGCTAGTGGGAATAGTAATGGGAGACACTGTGGCAGAACACCCCAAAGGGCAGCATGGGCTGGTAAGTGCAGCAGAGTGGGGGACATGTGGCCACGTGGTGTGTCTGGCACTGCTGAGGCACTGAAATAGACCTGGGGCTGTGAGCTGCATCATAAGCTGATTGCATGGGAAACAGAGTATTATCTGTATTTCTGAGCTAAGTACCAGTCAGTAAAATTATTCATAGTCATAGGACTACACAAGCAGATGAAAAGCTGTGCTTGAGGTGACAAAGGATATGCCTTGTGACATAAGGAGACCTCTAGTTCATTCTTTTGGGAATTAGTACCAGAAGTAAGTGTCTTCTTTTCCATTATAAGTTTGCAACAAAATGTGGTGACGTGATTGTACAAAAGTGAAGAGTTACTTCAGGGAAAGATATGTAGTAGAATTTGGAATTATTTCAAAAGAATATAGCACAGACAAATTAACTTCTTTGGTATTTCTTTCTGTAGCAATCCTTGTACAGATGAAGGATTCAGCAGCTCAGCTGATAGAGTTTGGGAGTTCAGAATGCTTGTCTGTTCAAGACAGTAAATATGAATGTAACAAGGAACACTAGAAAATTTTTGTTTCAGAACCTGATTTGAATAAGCAACTAAATGCTTTACATTTTCCTATATTCTTCAGATTGTGATTGAAAGCTTAGGCAGGAGGACTCCTCTGTGAGAACAAAATGAGTTTTAATTAGGAAACATACGAAGACCCCACTTAGAGTTAACAATAAATGCACTGTAATAATGCCTGACAAATCTGTGCATGTAAGAAGCTAAGTCAGTCTTTCAGTTTAAAACCATTGTCCCCTCTCCTACCACTACAGGCTTTTGTAAAAGTCTCTCTCCATCTTTATTGTAAGATTCCTTTCTATATTGAAAGGCTGCAGTAAAGTCTCCCTAGAGACTCTTCCTCTGCAGGCTGAACATCCCAGCCTGTCTCCAGAGCAGATCTGCTCCAGCCCTTGGAGCATCTTTGTGGTCTCTGGACCTGCTCCAACAGCTCCATGTCCTTCTTGTCCTGGGGATGCCAGAGCTGGATGCTAGGGCTTCACAAGAGCAAGAACTTCTTTTTATCATATGAAGAGAGATATTTTTATTAATGAAAACAATTTTTAAACTATTTTTATTTAATAAAAATATTTTTTTTACTTCCTGGAGTATTCTAGAGAATGGTCTCCATTTATTTGACTGTAACCTCTTTTTTAAATATATGTTGTTCAGCAATTAGGAAGAAAAAATCCTACTGAGTAATGACCAAGGAATAAATTACAGTAGATACATCTTATGACGTATGAGCTCTCTACTAGAAAGACATTGGCACAAGCCCAAACAAGAAGAATAAAAGCTTCTGAAAATATTTCATCTACATGGCACCACATCATTCCCATTCATACCAGAAAAATTAAATGGTGCTATTCCAGGTATCAACGGCTTTAGAATAACTTTCTGAATTATGTCTCGGCAACATAAGAAATCACAGTATCAATTAGCTTTCTTAACAGAAATGACATTTCATAATATATTTGAGCATGAAAAGAATTGGTCAGCTAAAATTTATGTAATCTAAAAAATGTGAGGTGAAAAAAAATCATAGTGAATTTACTGATAATATTTGAGGACAAGAACATAACTTGAGTAGTGGGTGGCTGTCCAAGGAAACCGTGGAGTTCTGCAGGGTCTGCAGGGCAGAGTTGCAGCAGTTTGCTGTGAAATGGGAGGTGTCAGAGCTGCCAAAGCTCAGCAGCTGCTGCAGGTGGGAAACCAGCAGCTTCCAGAGTCTTGTGAAGATAGATCCCCATTACAATTTAAGCCCGTTTGTCTGAGTTTGAACACTAACCTAATGACTTTACAACCTGCTAAGCATTCTGACCCGTGCTCTAGCACCCTGACCTGAAAGCCATCCAAGAATAGGGTGTCAGAGGGGAGCCAACCATACTGTGGGAATACAAATCCCTTCTCCTGTATCCAGTGGATGACAGACCAGCTCAATGGCTGTAAAGCCACAAGGAGGAGCTTCTAAAGGTACCTCTCAGAAATTAATTCATGCTGCCAACTGAAGTGTCTTTATGTGGATACAGTAACAGACAGTTACTAGCATGGATTTTGAGAATGTGATCAAATTAAAGCTGAAGGCATGTTTATGTGTCCTAAAATACTTGCCAGTCTGGAAGAGCTGAGTCAATACTCAAGTATTTCTCTGCCAGTGAGCATGGAACATGGAACTTGTGGAACATAACTTCAGTTAACCTAGTAGGTACCATTTTTAAAAGCAGCAGTCACAGAAGTCTTCATGCAAGTGTAAGAAGAGAGGAAACCATTTTAATAAATTGCAGCTTTCCAGAGGGTTGCCTGGGATTTATGGTATGAGGATAATTTTAGATCATTTAATCCCATTTTTACAAAAATCCAGTATGATATGTTAACAGTGTCTCTAGTATGCAAAATGTATTCCCCAAAATCTGGATCTGGCTATCATTAAATATATGTATATATTTTAATATACTAAATACACATTATGTTCACAGTAGTACATCTGCTGTGGAATGTATTCTTCCAATGCCAAGAGAGTACATGTGTAAGTTCAATCCATTTGAAGCAAACAGAATAGACCCCTTCCAGAATTAAAGGCCTGTATCTTAGGCCAAGAAGATACAAGAAATTGAAAGGGAGATAATCTTCAATAATCATAGTCTTAAGCCTTAGTGTTTTGTGTCAACATCAGCAAGTGAAGATGTCATTAATAAAAATCATATACATTCAACTGGATGTCCAAAAACTTTCAAACATAACATCCCCCTCTTTTCACTTGGCTTTTCAGTTTGGTGGTAGTGTCCATTACTGTGGGAAATATTTTGGGAGATATTTCCTTATCAGTGAATTGCTACTCTGAGGTATTTTTGCTTTGTTTCTTATAATGCTTCAGCCTGACACATGGTGGCAGAAGAGGGAGAAAACTGGCAAGATGAAACTGAAAGCAAGATCAGCACTGAGCTCTAATTTCTTATGTTCTCACACTTGATGTTTACCATTTGAAATTGTTAGGAGAAACTAGATGTCCACAAAGATGAACAGCTCTTCCAGAAACCTCCACCAGGGCTGCACTAATCAGGAAATGTTGTTTCTTTTCTGAACATACATCAGAAAAGATATTTTATTATTTTTCTGTGTTCTCCTCTAGTCTTTTCAATTACTTAATTTTTTTAAGGAAGGAAGGTTGCTGTTGCAAGACAAGTTTTTTACCAGAATGGATGGTTTAGACCCATATTTTATTGATTGTTTTATGCCCATATTCAAAAGTTCAATAGTTCAAGAGTTGATAAAACAATTTTTCCATGCTACAGGTGCACTGAGGAAAGCTACAGATACAAACACTGATAAGGACACTTACAGATAAGAAAACTGATTCAGGTCCATTATTGTCTAAAATACTTCTTAATTTTGGTTTTGCCTTTTTTCATAATTTTGCACAAGTATGTCAGTTGTGAAAGAAGTCAATAGTTGCTACAATGCAGACAAAGTTGCAACAAAAAAAAAAACCTCAAACCTGGGTTTTTCAAAAGTGCAGATGCGAAATTTCCTGGACAAACTGTAGTAATTTGCTTATGAAAATATTAAATATTAGGAGTGTTTTGCTATCTGACTGCTTACTGGCTGCTAGATCATACTTCTTAATCATGTCACAGTGACAGTGACCACACTATTCTCTGCCTTCTTTCTCTGTTTAATGCCAAGATTTTACGAGACAGATCACTGTATAAAATTTGTTCTGATTGATCACACCTTCACTGTGGTAATCAGTCAGGGAAAATGGTTTCATACTGTTGGCCAGAAGTGTCATTTAGAAAGCTGCTGTGGATGGCATGGAGAGAAATATAAAGTGAACTGAAGGAGACAACAGTGACAATGGGATTGGAAGTAGAACTCTAATCTGCAGTATCCTGGAAGAGAAGAGTAACATGGAGGGGAAAAAAGTTTGTGTTAGAAACATTTATTCTGCTCAGAGCACACATCCTGACCCTGGTTCTAGTAATAATGGGATTGTCTGCTGAAGTTCTCGGCATTCTTGCAGCAGCCTGGACAGACTGTTCTTCTACTGATGTGACAGGTACATATTAACTACCTGTCCATAGTTGTCAGGGAACTAAGAGTTTCTGTTGGAAAAAAAAAGAAAAGAATGGCTTACAAAAATATTTGCAGTTTTGTCATGTCCTCAGAATTTATCTGAACTTGTAGCTCTTGAAGTAGCTGAGGTATGTAGATGGCTGGCTGTAACGATTTGGTTAATTCTTATAGTGAGGTAGCAGTTAAATTGCTGATAGCAACAGGCATGATATTGCAATAGTATTTACTAGAGGGAAACCTGTTCCCCTACATAGTCACTGAATCAGAACCCCAATATCACTTAGAAATCATAAGGAATAAATGTACTGTTGTCATCATTGACTAATAATTAACAAAAGGCTAGAATGCAATGCCTTGGCTCTTGTAAGGAGCCTGCCTTGTAAGGACCTACCAGATCTGTGATAGCCACATTAAAAAAATGCAGTGACTCAGTTCAGAAGGGGTTTGGAGAGAACAGTGCCCTCTTTTCCATGCAGGCAGTTAGTCATGTCTAGCACAGTAGTACTTCCCAAATTCCTAGCCCTGGACAGCCTTCAGCACTACCTGAGGTAGAGTGCTGTGAAATGATTGTGCAAGTGAGCAGATAGTTTTTCCTGCCTGCCTTACTGCCCTGCTAGAGCACCAGTCACAGTGTCTGTGAAACATAAACTAGTGTCATATGTACCAGCCACTACTTTTATGTCTTGCAAAAGTAAACGGAAAGGTTTTCTCCTGTCATTTTACTTTAACTATGTCATTTGAGTCTTGCTATTGTATTCCATTACACATTCATGCCTGGTCTGTGTCCCCTAGCTACTCCTGCTGATGAGCTTCTCCCTGGAATGCAGAAACCTGAGTCAGACCAAGGCTCGGTTACTCCTCAGTCTCTGCAGGATGTTCTGCCCAGTTGCCAACACCCAAACAGATGAGCTTTGGATGTTAACAGCCCTACTGCAGCTGCAGGTACTCAGATTTCTTATCCTACTCACTGGTTTCTCACTTGGTTATCTTAGCAACTGGCAGCTTACTCAGGTTCACTCTGCCCCCTCAGAGCACAGTATAGTTAGGATTAATGAGATGGGACAGAGTGTGGAGGTCACCTGTAGTTCAGTCAGACAATGCTGAGGAGCAGCCTGTTGATGTGCAGTTGACACCTTTAGACCCTTTCCCTCTGTCTCCCTGCACCTGACGCATCTTGAGACTTCCTTTTCCCCACCTTTGGTCCTGCCTCTAAACATCCTGCAAGTCTCATCAATTCCCATCAACACCTTACAACATCTCACACTAGATTTTTAAACTCCAAAACTGTATTTTTGCCTGCATCCCATATACTGCTCTAGGTGATGACCCTCTTCAGTCTGCAAAGCATAGAAGAAGGGAATTCTCTCCTTGACCCATCTCAGTGAGTTTTATCCCAAGGCAACAGGCGGATTGTCTTGCTTTGATAGCCCTGTGAGTGGCAACTTCCTGGACTCCCTGTTCAGGTTACTAGAGTTCCTTCCTCATGGGGCCTTTCTGTTTAAGATGAGCCTGTAATCTTACAGCCTGATATCACAGGTGCACACTTGCTCCTGCACTGCTGCTCAAGACCCAGTACCAGCTCAGATGCACATGGATAGAGATTTGCTGGGGTAGAGTGGGAATGCCTGTGGTGTGTCTGTCCTAGCAAAATGTGAACAACTCAACCATGTTCTGAATTTTTTTCATACATGGGGCAGAAACTCTCTTCAGCTTTTACGTTATTACAGCACATCTTTACCTTTTAATAACATCTGGTCTGTGTGGACACCAGGTGGTTGGGAGCTGTTTCATTTGTAAGGACATGACCCTTCCTACTCGTTCTGTGATAGGGGTGCACATGTTGTACATGCAGAAAAAGGGAAGTCCACAGTCATCCTGACATCCAAAATGGCACAGCAACCAACACTGAGACATTTATAACCAGGTCTCTCTATCAAGTATTTAGCCACTGGTTGTTTTCCTGATACAGAAGTGTGTGTTAGATGTCCTGGTCCAGGCAGAAACAGAAGGTAAGCAGCACAGTTCCCACAGGTGAGAGACATCCATGTTGCTCCCTTGGTCTAGTCACATCTGTGCAGTGGAACAGTGTCTGTACTAGCATACTGACTGCTGCACTGTTTTTATAGGGTTTTTTTCTCCTCCAACAGAGCATATTAGTATTTGTCCTGAATGACATTGACTTTTATTCCATCTGAAAATACCTATTTAGCATTTTTCGGTTATTTGTACAGCAAGTATTGACATTAGAAACCTAAATGGTATGTATATTGAAATATATTTGCACTGGAGTTCTGCAAGCCTTTCTGCTTCTTCATCAGTGTGATTCAAGGGACGTGGCCTACATCTGTACTCAATCAAACAGGGCTGTGTTGGCCAATATAATCTAATTGTTTGACATTTTTATAGTAATTCATTGAGACTAAAGAGAGATGACTACATTAATATCTTGATGCAGCTAGATAATAGCTGAGCTAAAACTGATGTGCCAAATTACTGAAAGGCTCTTAAATTCTCTTACAAATGTTAACTCTTTGTGACAAAGAGGCATCAGTATAAATGTAATAAAGAGAAAGAATAGGACTATTTATAGTATGAAGTATTATAATAAAGAACATTCTCATAAATTTTTTAAGAATACTAACTAATCATTTACAAATTATATTTCTCAATAATTGAGATGAGAATTATTGTTAATGTTCATGACTCTGTTTTCTTGGATAATAATTTTCACTGAGGTCAAAATCAAACAGAAAAGGTTTTAGCTGATGAATATGTATTTTATTCCTCCAGCTAGTCTGTGAACAAACTTGCCTGCCCTGCATACATCTGTGGGAACAGTCAGGTTGGAACAGTGGTAGAACAGAATAATGAAATCATAGAAGGGTGAAGGTTGGAAGGGCCATCAAGATCATTTAATTCCAACTCCCCTGCATGGGCAGGGACACCTCCCAGCAGCCCAGGCTGCACAAGCCCCATCCAACCTTCAACACTGCCAGGGATGGGGCAGCCACAGCTTCCCTGGGCAATTCTATTATTCCACGTTTGTATCAAAGGTGGGAACCTTTCATAGAGCATCTCACTGGAGACAGCCAATGATAGTGCTGGAGAATCGTTAAACATTTACAGAAACTATTTGTATGCACATAAGGTAACAACCAATGCCTTGTTCAAGAAAACACCTTTTTGCAGAGTTACGGGAGCCCCCGCCAGAGCGCGAGGGAGCGGGACCGTCTGCACCAAAACCGGATCCCGGGAAAGGCCGCGTTTCGGCAGCACCAGCTGCTGCGGCTCCGAGCGGCGCGTGCGCGGGGCGGGACCCGCGCTCCCCAGCGAGGCGGGGCC